AGTAGTAACAAGAAGCTATTAGGAACAAGTGCATCGCTTCGTTCGTATCAAGTGCCTTACTAGTAGTAACAAGAAGATAAGAAGCTATGTTAGGAACAGGTGCATCGCTTCGTTCGTAACAAGTGCCGTACTATAGTAGTAACAAAAAGCTATTACAACGAAATCATGCTGAAAAGAGAAGTTCGTTCCGATCTTCGTTCTCTGCTCGTTTCGTTTTCGTACAAAGCCCAAACCAGCGGGAACCGCGGTCGATCGTCGTTGCTGAGGCTCGTGTGTCGGCAACAATCCGTGGGCTTGCTGAACATCGCCCGGTGATCCTCTCTTTTGTTCTTTCGTGTCTGCTGTCTAGTCTCAGCTCATGAATTGCCCCATGTTTGGACCCTTCGTTTCCTAGTGCCCTACCACCACCCACTTTGGATGGTGACATAGCAAAAACAGCTTTTGGGGGGGTCGAAGAGTCATAAACCAGCTCCAGGTGGTGCATGGTGGTGCAGTCGAGTGCACATGTTTGGTGGCAGTCCTCGATGTAGTTCTTCCATATCAACGCTTTCACTTGTGGCACCTGTGGCCTGTGAGCAGCCATTTCGCGGCGATGGAGGCACAATTGGATGAATCTCGCAAAGCTGAAATTGCTGCGTCTGAGCCCATGTTGCGGAGAGGATCTCGTGGCACGAGGTCAATGCAAGAACAGTGTCAGTTTTTGGGAGGAAATATGAGAACATGATCATGGAAATTGGACTGAATTTGCGAGATGTGGCTTTCATCACGCTTGACGATAACATGCTGAAAAGGGCCGGCATTGTGAATTTAAATGATCGGTTCAACTTCTCTTCCATCAATGCTGCCCTGCAGAGGTCCACATGGAACCCCAAACCCAGCTTGTAGAGGAACATGGTCTTCTACACTTCCACCCTCGGTCTTTCTTGGATCGTTGGCGTTTCCGATCTTCCTCTCTTCTCAGTCCCCCCAACTCTCGCAACAACTCCAACTGCTTCTCCGCCTCGGCACGTTGGAGAACTCTGCGGTGCTGTTCGTCCCCGGCTTTCTCTGCGTCGACTGTTCTTCGGAACGAGTTCGGAGTCGAGTTCGTCGAGTTCGGAGTCGTTCGTGGAGTGAACACATAGACGCACACCCTTTAGGCTGACCTCACGAAGAGGGACAATTGAGGAGAATGGATCTTCCCACCATGTTTCACTTCCAAAATAACACACAAGCGGAGTATATATGTATTATCAGAAATATATATATATATATGTATTATATATATATATTGTCTTCTTTTTAGGCTTTGGACCGAAGCACGATCCATTTCCTGGCGCGGAATCGCAGGTTCCTGCGCGACGCTTTCTGCCCAGGGCGCCAAGATGGATTCACCGTAGTGCGGGATGAGAACGCTGAGGCCCGGCACCTGGGTTTCGAAGGCACTGGCACCCACCGGAAGAGAGAATCCTTGTTCAAGCAACAAGGTCTCTTTAGATCTCTTTAGAATGGTCTTCCTACAACGACTCTTTAAATTCTATCTAAATCCGACTCACTAGTTTGCTGGCATCATTGTCTCTAAGCGAGCCTACGGCCAGCTAAAGTAGAGACAGCTCGTGACAGCTCTTCAACCTTTGGTTTCCAAGCTTCTGTACGTCGTAGCCAAGGTGAGTTGAGAATACAATTCATGGGAGCAACTGTCGACACCGCCCTGTGGTTGGGGCTCCTGCATAAGGGGCTCGATATGGCACAGGCAGTGGTAGGCCCAGCCCTCGTGCAAGGGCCTTGCGAGGCGCCGAAGGGTGCCAATGTGCCACCAAAGAAACCTGACGAACCTGCTTCATGTACCACTGAAATCTCGATGACAGGAGGTGTGTCGGCATGTGTCTTTCATGAAACTCCTTCTCCTCGAGAGCCGCACAAGGGTGCGCGCCACTCTCGATGAACAAACGCAATTTGAGGAGATTCCTTTGTCCCAAGTGATTCCCGTTCGCGAAACACCCGTCGCCACTCGTTTTTCGGTCGCGCCTGGAGGCGCCACTTGGCCTCCCTGTTGTTGGGCCAGCCTGGCACCGGCAAGGACCACGTCGGACTGAGTCAATGGGCTCCAAAAGAAACAGCGTCCTTTGCTCGCATGGCTGGCCGCTTCATTCGCTGGCCGATTCGCGGCGCCTTGTTGTCCTTGGCTCGTGTACTTCCGCAAGAGGTTTTCGGCCTCGTGACCGCCCAGATCCGTCGAAAGAAGAGACGAAGAACACATCCATTTACGAGACGTAGGTCACCGGGTATGACGTGCTCGCAGTGGAAGGGATCACTTTTAAAGAATAAATTCAAGAACTAATAAGCTCAAGTCTCCATTTTCCTGATGGCAAGCACATTCATCCCATGTCATACCCACTCCCCCAAAAATCCTTTTAGCCACCAAGGTGGCATCGCTCGTCTTGGGCGAGGTTTCGCCGCCTCTCCTCTCGTCCCGTCCTCAGTCTCTGACCAATCGGGTGCCTCGAAAGATCTGAGGCCTCCGGAGAGACTCCCGCTTCCCTTGGTCGATGCCCGGTAGGGGCATGTTCAGCTGTTTCCACTGAACATTGGAATCCGCTGAAGAACAGTACCTCGATGCAGCAAGCAGAATAGCAGATGAAAAAATATCATCAGGACTTTGGACACGAAACTTCCAAACATCCTCTTAGAGGTGTCTAGTCTGTCCTCTTATTCTCTCTTCCATCATGGTCAGGAGCACGAGAGGTCGCCAATCTCTCTGCTGGTCACCTGCGGAGCTTTGCTGGTGACGGTGTTTCGCATCGAAGGGAGTTCTCCCACACCTTGCCCTCGTAGCGCAGGAACTCCACGATGCGGTCCCAAACACCTCGGGAAACCGCGACCGGACAGCGCGGCGCGGAAAGCGTGGATGTCCCGTGCAGACGTTTGGTGGTACTTCTCTGGGCCCAGGTGGAAAGAGCGAACAAGAACTTGCCACCCTGTTGGGTTTTTGGCACAGACCAATGCCGTCAGTCGCAGTCTCACCTTTTTCACCTGACAAATGACAGATCCTGATGGTCCTCCTCTCTGTTCTGCCGTGCTCGGCCCCGTGCCATAGAAGGCGTAAGGGGGGCCACCCGGCCCCTGAAGAGCGTAGGGAAGGACCTGCCCCCGCTTCCCCGATTCAAATCGCGTGTTTTGGACATGGATTCATTGGACATGGACATGGGTGCTCAGCCAGTCTTCGAACAAATCTTCCTCTAACCGTGCGCAACATGGCAAAACATCGGGGCACAGCCTTCGCGGGAAAGCGCTGTTGAATCTTTGACACGCTGTCCTGGATCAGAAAGGGATCAGCGGATCGGCGTCTGATGTTGTGCTGCTGCTGCACTGCAGCAATTCCAAGAAAAAACATTCAGAAGTGAGCAGCCAAGTCAAGTGAGCAGCCAAAGCATTTTTGTTATTTCCCGAGCCAAGTAATCTTGACCTCCGGCATGTCGGAAGGCCAATAGTTTAAGCGTGGGTTCAGTGAGAGCATCGCAGGCACGAGCACGGTTCGTACCACAAAGGTGTCCACCACAATGCTGAAGATGAAAATAAAGCCCATCTGGTTTGTGATGGCCATGCTCCCAAGCAGCATGCTGGTCTCAGTTCAAGTTGACAACTGAAGATGTGTCCAATTTTGGCCGCTTGACCATCTGAAGGTTCAAGAAGCTTTGTCCCAGACACTCCACGGGACTGGCATATTTACCGATCAGTTGGGGTGGTGGTGGTTTGAGGGGTAGGCTGGGGCGACATATGACTCACATGGACCTGGAGAGTCTGGGTCGTGGGCGAATGCCCTTGGGCTCCACAACATGTCATATCGCGGCGCAAAGGGGCGAGACAACTTGGATGCGACACAGCAAACAAGCAGGGTTCGCTTTGAGACCAATGGTTGCCCCTCTCAATCTGTTCTTCATACTCCCTCTCTTTTCACCCGGACTCCGACCAAACGACCAAACACCAACGACCGGTGGACTCCGCTTGGATCGCTCCGGCCCCGGCACCTCCAAAACGGACGGTCGTTCGGTCGTTCGGTCGCCGCCCTCTTCGCTGGTTCTGCGCGGAACCGAGGGGCAAACGTAAAGGCGAAGATGAGACCAGCAGCTGTGATCGTGGGCCCCGTGGCAGACAGAGCCAACTGCACGGACTCGTTGTCTCCGAAGCCCTGAATGGTCCGTGGAGGGCACGACGGGTGACCGGTGGAGAAGATGGAAAGAGAAAGCCCTCCAGGGAGGTGGAGGGCCCTGCTTCTTAAGGGGTAGGCTACAGCCCTGGATGACTTGACTGTACGAGTACCAGATCGAGGGGTGGAGACTTTCGATGCAAAATTAATTTCCAGCGGAGCAACCAGCGGACCCGCAGAAAACACGCGCCAGAGCGTGAAAAACACGCTCCCAGCGCGCTTCTTTTAAGCGCGCTCTCTGCTCTGCGCGCCTCTTCTCGGAATTCCCAGACGCGCTCGAAGAGGAAGACGTCGTAATCCTGGCGTCGCAGGGGGAGACCCTGCGTACTTGCGGGGTCTCTACACCACTGGAAAGATTTTGAACAAAATCAGGACCCTGGACGGTTAGGTTGCAGTCTATTCCTAAGCTACTAGGAACAAGTGCATCGCTACTAGGAGCAAGGGCCTTACTATTAGTAACTAGAAGCTATTAGAAACCTTTCTCCAAGATCATCTTTTACCCGACTGTGACTGGTGGGGACGTACCAGTCTGAAAGACCTGCTTTGGTTCATCTCAAAATCTGGAAGATACGTCAAGAAGTTCCTGAGTCTTCCTTAGAAAACACTTGCAAGGAATAACCTTCCAAGATGGTGCATCCAAGTGTCTAAAGCCAGGCCCAGCATGATGGTCAGTGTGAACATCGGAACCGTCCAATCAAGACCTGCACACCGGCCGCTGAACAAGCCACTTGCCAGAATGCTTTTAGCAATGGTTTCTGGGAGATGTCAGAGTCCTCCAAGTCTTCCAAATGAGGCCTACAGCTGATCAAAACTCTGGAACACTGCGCATAAGTCCCCCAGTTTGCGTCACCCCCCGTCCCCAGGCCTGCAGGGCCACTGTTCGTAATGTACGTGGGCGACAAGCCCGGAAAGCCCAGCCACTCCAGGGCGCCGTCCTCGTAGACATACCTCGACGGGTTTTGGAAGCACCGGTGAGGAAGAGAAGATTTGACCCAAAAACCACTCCATGTCGGCAGAATGTGATGAGATCCCGATCCGATATGCGAGTGCCCGCACCCAAAAAACGGCCGCAAGAGAGAGAGAGAGAGAGAGGGAGAGAGAGCGAGAGAGAGAGAGTTTTCCTCACTTAGACCTTCCCGTCCACACAGTGAACGGCTTCCGTGCCAAAGGAACAGGTACTGGAACAGGTATGAATTGGCAAACGGGGCCAACATGAAAAACTGCTGCCAAGAGCACAAAGCAGCGCCATACGTCCAGGTGATTGGCAAGATCACAGTGAAAAGCAACTTGAAGGGGATGAGCCTGCAGCACAAGGGCTCACTCTGTTGGCCTTTCTTGGGGCTGGAGTTCCTGGACAACGTTCCAACAAAGTGCATGGCTTGAAGCTAGAACTCCGAACATCCAGATCCTCTCAAAGCCTGTTCTCTAATCACTTCATGCACTTCGTCGTTAGGCTTTAAATTAAAGAAAGGTGGAACCCACGAACCCGAATGCAAACACGTTCGAAAAGCTACATATGTCCAAATGACACTCTTGTAGGACACTCTTGAAGGACACTCTTGTGAGTCACTCTCACGGCACTTTTGTAGGACACTCTTGTGGGACACTCTTGTGAGTCACTCTCACGGCACTTTTGTAGGACACTCTTGTGGGACACTCTTGTAGGACACTCTTGTAGGACACTCTTGTGGGACACTCTTGTAAGAAACTCTTGTGTGACACTCTTGTGGGACACTCTTGTGCGACACTCTTATAGGACACTCTTGTGGGACACTCTTGTGGGACACTCTTGCGGGACACTCTTGTGCGACACTCTTGTAAGAAACTCCTGTGGGACACTCTTGCGGGACACTCTTGTAGGACACTCTTGTGGGACACTCTTGTAAGAAACTCTTGTGGGACACTCTTGTAGGAAACTCTTGTGGGACACTCTTATGGGACACTCTTAAGGGACACTCTTGTGAGACACTCTTGTGGGACACTCATACGGGACACTCTTGTGGGACACTCTATCTGGGACACTCTTGTAGGACACACGCTTCGAGGCTGCAAGACGAGCGCTTCGTACGAGACTTCCTCCAAAAGTCACACGTCAAGTCTCCAAAACGAGCGTTTCGTTCGAAATTTCCTCAAAAACTCACATGTCAAAGCCTGCAAAACGAGCGTTTCGTACGAGACTTCCTGCAAAAGTCAAGCGGAAACACCCATCGGAGCACACACATCACGCAGCCCTGCCATGCAGTTTCGCGATTCCAGCCCCTCCAAACAACACCCGCGCACACGCCAATCCCAATGTGACAGCGACAGTCACATCCACCACAACTCACAACCTCGCGATTGCCTGCGCCTGCCACAAATCTTTCCGCGTCCACACGTCTAACGCGCACAAAGTACTGCGCCTGCCACGAAATGTGACCTCCGTCACACCTCACAACCTCACGATTCCCTGCGCCTGCCACGAAAATCGCACTTCCACACCTCAAAACCCGCACACAGTACTGCGCCTGCCACGAAAAGTGACAATATCATCTCATGATATCTCATGTGAGCGTCAACAAGATTTGCACCACACCACACGCTTGGAATGATTTCGACCCGTTCTCAGCACACTCCCACCCACCAAAGTCGCCATTTCAGCTGAGACTTGTCACGAAAACAGAGCTTCGATGCCACACCCTGAAACGCAAATCCCAATGGCACGGCCACATCCAACACCCCAAAAACACGACTCTCCAAACGCTAATCCCAATGGAACTGCCCAGCAAACTGCGGATCTCACAAAACGCTGCACCTGCGCAGTGAAATCATCCTCCACACTTCAACATCTTACATTTCCACACGATTCCTCGCTATTTCAGACGAATCTGACACGTCACGTTTTCATCCGAAACCCTTTCCAAAAGCTTCCCCCAATGGCAGCGCCTTAGCGCTCTACTGCGGACGGTTGCGGACGGTTGCGAACATAGAAACAACGGGTCGCGAACAAGGCTCTATACCCTCAGACCCCCCAGAGTTAAACGAGAACCCTTCGCTACGCATTCGGGAAAAAGAGGACCAAACACATGCGGTGCTTTCAGCGAAAATGCTTCGTGATTCTCTTTTCCATCTGCATCGGGATGTCTCACCGGCCGAGGGGCCAAGCATGAAAGGCCACGGCGATGAGCACGAAGCCTTGGTCGGAAGCGACCAGGAAAAAGATCTAAAGAGCCTAAGAGAAAAAGAACCTAAGAGATCTTCGGACCATCGCTGATCTTCAGAACTGCCTTAAGTCTGATTCAGCGAAGAACGGCGCATACTACCCCTCCTGGCCCTCCCTCTCGTCTGCCCAGCAGCAAACGATGGCACAACCCAGAAAGGCGACAAAGAGCCGATCGTGGGTGAATTTGATCATGTCCTTGGGGAGCGAGCGTCGCGAGGACTCGGGAGCGCGGTGCCGGCTTCCTGGGCGGGTCGGATCTTCTTCACCCGGAAGTGCGAACAAAAACGGTTGACTTCACCTGGATCTGACGTCCTGAAGCGTAGGTGTTCAACACATGCAAGGCAGTGGGGGAATGTGAACAATGCCTCATGGAACGAATTGTGTTCAGCAATACCGGACCTAAATGATGCCCAATTGGATCTTTCAACTGTGTAAAACATTCTGCCGTTTCATTTGAAATACTGGCCCAAAGGCGCCAGGCATGCTGCGTAGTTGGAAGATCTCTGGTATGCTCAGATATGCGGTACACCTTGCCCAAGTGGCCATCATGATCGCGCTGGGTGAGAACATCATGTACGTGATGGCGCCGAAGCCGCTCTCCCTGCACCGCGAGGGAGTCGGACCAAGCGACGGCGACGGCTTGTTTTCTTGGGAAACCGACGAACCCAAAAAGTGGTGTAGAAAGTGGTGTATGTTTGTTGATCTCTCTCTCTCTCTCTGGGCGGATGGGGAGTTCAAGGTTTTTTTGGTGGTGTTCCCCCCAGTTCAAGCCCCAGGTGCTAGAGGGAGCTACGGCCCAAATTTGGTGGAAATCCCTATGACCGTTTCCTCTACCAGCGGCTGGTTTCCACTTCGACATGCCATGAGTGCTGAACCCCCGCCTGGAATCAACACTGGCATTATGCAGTGTCGAGCGGATCTCCTTGGATCGAGAAGGACATGGGGAGGCCATGTGAGGCCCAATTAGCGTCAGTCTTCAGAGTTCACCGCGGCTCTTGTCAAATTCATGGCCAGGGCTGGCCGAGGGGCTGAAGTCATGCGAAAGGCCTCTTCACTGAAGGGGTCCATTTTGGGCGTGAGAAGCGTGAGCATGGAGTCGTGCTTGGCATTCACCAACTGGTCCCACAACTTTTGCATCAGCCTGGTACCAAAACCGGGCCAAGAACGATGTGTTTGGGACCGCCGGGTGCCAACGGGATCCGTTGGCAAACTCAAACGGAAAGGTCGGAGCGGTGGCGTCGCGAGCCCGGTCTCTGTCGGACCTGGAGGTGGACATGAACCTCTTTGCAAAGAAGTTCTCACCTCGGCCACCGTCCGCCGTCCACGTCGCCCGACGTCGCCCGACGTTCGTGCTTGGCGGTGTGTTTCTCGTTTTTGGAAGGTGACCCCGCTGGGGTCCGGGCGGTAGTAGTGCGTCAGTTTGTAGTTCAGGCATTTCACATCCCCATTCTTCAGCTCGCCATAGAAGGTGGGGCTTTGAAAGTCCTTCGACGCCAGCGCGAAGGTCTCATTCCGAGACATCTGGATGAGCCGGTTCACCATGTCGCAGTTCTCGTTGAAGAACGCTTGACCCCTCACATCCAAAGGCTCCTGCCGCTCTGAGCCAGCAGCTTCACGAAGTATTCCATGCGACATGACAGAACCACTCATCAAACATCCAAGAACTCTTCACATCAAGAATTCAAAACCCGTGGATTTGCTCCAGGATTTCTGATGAAAAACTCCTGGATGTCTCCCGGCCTCTGAGGTGATGTCCGGGATCGGCATCTTTTCACTCGCCTCCCCCGCGACCTTCGGCGCCTCTGCGACCTTCGGCGCCGGCGTGGGCACCGTGACCACGGCGGCCTCAGGCCGGTGAGTCGGCATTCGTGACGACAGTGGTGACTGATTTCGTGACGTCGTTGGAGAGTTGTCCCCACAGGTCCCAAGACCAAGCAAAGGATTATACAAAACCTATGGGTCCTTTACTTCATTTTTCGAGGTGCTTTCTTCAACTCATGAGGTCAGTTCAAACCTGTAGGAGTTCGAGTCAGCATGGCACAAGGCATCCGAGCTGCCGTCTCGTTGAGCCTCCGGATTTGGGTGCTCGGTGCACTGGGCGTCGTCGTCCCCGGCGCAGGCGTCCTCCCCGGCGCAGGGTGCACCACAAGGCCTTCGCTGGGCAAAACGGGGAGCGGTGGCAAGGTGGTCGTGAAGAGATCTTCATCTGGAAGTTTGCTGGTGGCAATGATCAAGGTGGGCATCATACCTCAGAGGTGCCAGTGGTAAGAGACCCAAGAGCTGTTTGGAGTCAAGACGTGGTGGAAAACGACCCTATAGACTTAGACTATTTCAATAAATAAATATATTATATATATAATATAAATAAATATATATATATAATATATATTAATATATGAAGATCATAGTTTAACTATTTATGTTTTTGTTGATGCTGCCGAAGGTGCATCCCACACTGGTGGGAAAATCCTGTTGGATGCTCAGCGAGGTTTCCCACTCTTTCTTCCCACGAGGGATTTGAAGCTCATAGGCGTGGCCCATTTGATACCTCCCAACGCCGAGTTTATACGAAGACACGCGCGTTTTCGCGTAAAGCGAGTCACGCGCGGTTTGACGAGTGGTGTTTTCCTTGACGTCCAGCGCCTCAGAACGCGATAGGTCAATGGAGATGTCACAGCATAGATGGCGATGGGTACCAAAATGTTCCTGGAGTCCACTTCGACGCGGCCGACGGCTTCGGACGGCTTCGGACCTGGGCGGGACGTCCGGACGGGCGCCAACACGCTGCGTGTTAGCCGTCGGGGAGCTTCGGGCCGAGCTTCAGCGGGCACTGGGTCAGTTTCCCTCCGACCCTGTAGTAGATGCCCTTGCGAAAGACACGCACATGCCGCAACCTCAGCATCGTCGAGTGTGGAGCTGGTCTGGTGGTTCTTCGGGTTCGGCATTCTGCTTGGAAGCTGATCGGGCCAGTGAGGCAAGTTAGACCAAGCTGCGAATTTCGCGTGGCCGGGGTGTCTTCCTCCAGCTCCTCATGGCCAATATCTTCCTCTTCCTCCTCCTTAGCAAGACATGGGTGTTTGCCACTGGTGGGTGTCTATTTTCCACTTCAGGTCTTTTGGGAGGTTCCCCATGAAAATCACCCAGACTCAGTCCACCCCAAACAGCAACTAACTCTTTGCGTGCACCCCAACACACAAGAACCCCTCCGAGTTCACCCCGGGACATGGCAGGGCCGATCTGGTCTTCACAGCTAGTGGAGACCAGTCCGGGAGACAAATAGGGAGAGAAGAAAGGAGACAAGGCCGCAAGCAGCAGCAAACAAAACGCCGATCACGCAGGCAAACAACCGGGGAGACAAGGAAACAAAACGCAATTCAGCCACCCAGTCATTGAGAAGTCAGAACCCCCATATCATATCTTTCAGCTATCTGTCTGGGCCCAAACAAAGACCTGGCGAAGTTGGGAGCTTTGTGTTCAGTCGCCGGTGACATTTGCTCAAGCCTAACGACTTTAGTCCACCCCAGTGCGGTCCACGAAGCATCCCCTTCATCAGCTTCTTCCTCGGGAGAAACCACGTCAAAGCCAGCGCCCAGCCATGGGAAGATCCCCAAGAGGCACGGCACAAAAGTCATCTGAACACCAATGCAACACCTGGCTGCAAAACCACGGACCAAACAGACCATGGACGCTACGTTCGGAGCTCCTGGACATTGGAACATCGAAATGAAAAACACCCTGCCAGGAGTCACATGTCGGGGTGCCGAACTTGGAGGAAGTCGGGGTGCCCGACTAAAGGCCACCTCGACACGTGGCTCCTGGTGAAAACGCCGCAGTTTTGGTGCAGCTGGCTGTTGCACAACATGTTGAAACCATCCGAAGTGTGCATGATGCATCGGCACCATCAATGCCTTCCCTGGGTTATCTAAACATGCTGTTTTCAATAGCTTCACCATCTTTAACTGATGACTTTGGGTTCTCTCGTGGCCGCAGTTGCCAAACGCGGCCCAGGGCACAGGATCATGCTGCAAGCAGCAATGCAAAAGCTCTTGAAGGCACCTGGGAACCAGCGGAACCGCGAACAGTGCACAATGCTATCTGCGTGATCAACTGAAACACCGCGATTGAAAAACCGCCAAAATGACACGCCTGGAAGCACTAGCAGGGAGCCATAGGCAATGGTAAGCACAAGGCCAGACACAACCACCACATGACCACTTTGTGTGATCACAATGGCCTCAGATGTTCCAGGAACAAGGCCACTCTGCAAGAATATATGCACACACACACACCAGGAAAAGGTAGAAGAGCCTGAAATGCAGGAAAAGGAGATCATGGGGCCGGGGGGTGAGCATTATACATAATATATTATACCTGTGCAGACATGGTTCTGCCTCTTTCATCTAAAAGACCAGCCAAAGGCCACATTTGTTGCGTAGTTGGAAGATATATTGTATATATGTGCATGTACATATACATATATATATATGTGAAAAAGGGCTAACTGAGTGAAGCATCCGTCATCCGCTCGGTCGTCCGGCGAAGACATGTTCCTTCCAAGCCACGATGGCATCTTCTAGGCTGGTACCCTTTCTTCGCTCTTCTCCGTATCTTGTCATGGTAAAGAGCGAGTAGTCAAAAGACAGAGCAGTGCAAAGCATCAGCATCATCACGAGCGCATACAGGATCACCGGCAGCTGGGTCGAAACGAAGTACCTGTATATATATATATATTATATAATATGCTAATGGTCAAGGAAGTCAATGGAAGAAAGGGGGTCTGACAAGGTCTTCAGCTCAAGTCCCACCACTGCGTTGTCGGTTCTCTTCAGCTGTTCCTATAATCATTCTGAGGCACATGAAGCCAAAAGAGATGAGAATGGACACGGGCATGGAGCACAGTGCCAGGAGCAAGAGCCTCGCACTTTGAAGACGATATGCCAAAATACCGAAGGGCAGCCAGAGCGTCTCTATCTCATGGATCGGCACCTCAGCTACCGTTCCGAACCGACCGGTTCCGTCTTCCTTCGGACCACCGGGTCCGGGCCTCGTGAAGGACGGTCTCCTTCATGGCCACATTGAGAAAAGTGGGACCGGTGGCAGCCAGCTGGTAGCTGAGAGGCCCATCATCCAGTTGCTCGTTCCTCGGGTCGGACGCTCTTCCGAGCCTTCGGAAGAGAAGGAGCGGAGGCGGAGGCTAGGGAGGTAGAGAGTCAGGTCGTCGGTCGAGTCGCGCAGTTCGATGTTCGTTTCAGCGAGCGTTCCTTTTGAACGTCTGAAAGTCTGAAAGGGACCAAGGCCATCGCTCTTAGGTTGGAGGCTATGGCTATTGATTCTTTAAAGTGTTTTGTCGTTTCTTTTCTTAATCGAGGCCATTGAACACACCGGAAAGTCTGAAAGTCGTTCAGACACTTTCATCCCGTCCCAGACGCAAGGAGTCACACATTCTCGTTATCTGACGTGCAAAATCCTGCGCTTCTAGCTTCATCGTCCCATTGACACGCCAACCTCAAGGAGTCTCGGAAGACTCAAGTCTTCATGTAAATGGAGTGTCCCAAAATATGTTGCTATAGAAGCTTAAGTATTGCTAGTAGCGAACTAGTGTCCCTCAATTAAGCCTTAAGCAGGCGCCTACTTAGTCAAGTAAAGAGGCAGGGCCACTCGGGCTAAAAACAAACCACAGTTACCAGAAGAGCTTGGTGTGTTCATGTCACTTCAGCCACGATGCTCCAAACAAAGAGGATGCTTTGCTTGTCGAAGGATAGCATTGGATTGTCATCGATCTTCGTCCCGAACGTGTAGTAGGAACGAATGTCTATAATCGTCCCTGGGTACTCATGCCCAAAGCGCAAAACCATGTCCTGGCGAATTCAGATCACTTGGCCAAAAAAAAACATTGTTGAATTGATTATACGGAGCTTCTTGTTTCCAAACATGTCGCCTGGCTGCAGCAAACCACCCGAAATGAGGTCCAAACCATGCGATTTGACCTTCAAAGCGGTCCTTCAGAATCTCCACGTGTGACTTGCTCACGGAGGACACGGCACTCTCACAGGGCGCCCGGCACCTCAGCGGGACAAAGGCACGTGAAGAGCGCGGGAAGAGCGCGGAGCGAGCGAGCGAGACTCGTTGCAGAAGAAGCAGCTTGATGAGCACCATTTCCATCTTCATCCCCACCAAGTAGGGAAATTTCGCCTCGTGGTCGGCTAGACGGCTAGACGGTGGCCAAAGTCCGTGACACGAGAAGTGAAGCTAACACATCAAGGTCGACTGTTAGTGGCACGTCGTTCGGAAGTCACATCTCCCTTACGATGAACATCGGAGATCCGAACCGTGAATCTCTTCGTTCCTTTTCTCCTTCCTGGACTCTCATTGGATGTGAAAAAGAAGAAGAAAACCATCCAAAAGGATGAAAGGATGACCGGAACGGCGGCACGTCGCACACGCACCGCTCCGCCGCGCGGAGCGGAGTCCGCTCCGAGTCCGTGCCTCGAAGAGTTCCTCCGCCAGGGCCGAGGGAGTGCCATGGGGCGGGTTCTTGGGCAGCGGTAGGGCGTTGATCACCTTGGCGTGGTGGTTCGCCCGGCCCCGAACGGGCTGGCACAGGGCAAATGATGCGTGCTGGGTGGAAAAAGAGGAGGAATGTGTTGTGTTTCCCCAATTTTTCACCTTTTTGGGGGTTGATGGAACAATATGGAACAAATCTTCGTTCCAAATAAAGGGAGAAGGTACGCGTAGAAGAAAGGTCAGGAAAAACCTCGGGAGCACCCAAATCTGCAAAGCCCCTCGATCGATGGGCGACTCCTCCGCATTCTACGAAAAGAGTCCTGTTGAGATTATGCGATCATGTGAAGACGTCGGCGGTCTTTTTCGGCGACGGCGATGCTTTTGAGCGTTGATCTGTCCATGCCGAAGTTCCGGTTCATATTCTTGTTCGCTCACAACCACGTCCCCTTTCGGCGAAACGTGTGCAGTCTAACGTTCCCATCTCGGACGCCTCGGCCTTGGACGTCGAGTAGCCATCATGTATGCAAAGGGTGCCATGAGCACAGCCAGCAAAGGCCAGCCGATGGCCAAGCAAATACGCCATTCCCAAATGCTCTTGGCAATCGCCTCCCCAGGCAACAAAAAATGAAAAAAGACAGAAGAGCTGGTAGAGATGATAGATGTATATAATATATATATATGAAATGTATTATGTATATATTAGGGACCTTTCAAAGGGATGTCCAATGGAGATTCACAAGTCGTGTAGGCTACTCCATTGGAGACCCGTTTTGATGGTGCTGGTCAGTCGATATGATTGTTTATAAAACTTAAATTTGTTGGTTTGTTGTGTTATATGTATATATATTCTATATACCAGGACTCTCCAACAGGCTGTTTGGAGGCCTAACAGGTGGTTTCTGGGCGCCTGTTGTCACCAGGAAGCACCTGTTGGAGGGTGCTGGTATATATATATATATATATCCTAGACTAGTACATAGTAAATATATTCTTGGCGCAGCACAGACAAACAGTAACGCTGCGCCAAGAATCTCCGGCTGGAACGGTCCTCCCCCCGTCGCCTGGCCCATGGGGCTGGGCTGAGGAGCGTGGCCATTGCCTGAAGGTTTCCCCGAGAGGAGGCAGTTTTTTGAGAATCTTGTTACTAGTAGCTACTTGCCCCTAGTAGCAAGGCCAGGAGCCCCGAACGTAGCGTCCTTGCTCCTAGTGGACCAAGAGGTGCGAAGACGGCCCGAACTTCGACCAGCACAGTCCGTCAAAGTGTACAGAGGTCGGCCTGTCAACAGTTCAAGCTCCTGCGGCGGCAGGACATCATGGAAGTTGGCAGTGAAACAGCAAGTTGCATCCAAACCTTTGGGTGGCGGGATGTGACATTGACAAAGCGCGCTTGCGGAAGGCTCTTGATCTCCTCGTATTTGCTTCCTTTGCGTTCTGTAGACTTGGACATGCAAATAGACTCGACATCATCGTCGCTGCTATCATTGCAAACCATCACCAGGCGCCTGTCGGACAGGTGAACAAAATTGCATCCCAAGCCTGCTCTGCTATTTGCATCATGCAGCCGCGCCTGCTCCCCAAAAAGCACGGACTCGTGGGGACTCGCCGCCGTGGAAACGAATTGAGCTCAGGACTTCCGATTGGAAACAGGGAAACAGTAGGTGTTGGTTGGTTTGGGTGGATGGCGTTGCAGCTGGCCGAGCTCTTCATATTCTCCACTTTGCTGTACGGTTGTTGAAATAGACTGGTTATGACTGGCTCCTGTTCGGAACAGTGGGGACCTTATCAGTTCTTTGCCAGAAACGGCCATGGCAACATTTGTTACTCTTTGAAGATGTCTATAGACTTCACATGAAGCCACATGTCACATGACACCGTCACATGCAGGCATCTCAACGCGACGTTCCACCCATCGAGCCAGTGAATGTGCACCAAAGGCCTCAAAGCACACAGACCGCTGTGTTCTCAGAAAACCTGGTTCCAGTTCTGCGCCTCTGAAAGCAGAGAAATCACATGAAAACACCCTCCTCACAAACGAAGCTTCGGATTCGACCACGTCTCTGTACGAAGACATACCCGACACCTTGGCCGAAAGTCAGTGCACCAAGTCAAAGCTTGGGAGCAAAGCACACGTACAGTAGATATACAGTGCATTTGGGGTGTGTTTTCGAATCGGGAGACCGGCACGGTACAAAAGAAAAGAACTTGGAGGAGTTGGAGGAGTCCTACTTCTGCATTGTATACATCTAGGGAAGCTGCCCAAGATCGTGCAGCCCAGGATGAACCACAGCAGCCTGACACGCGCAGCGATCGGGCCAAGAAGGACACCATCCACACCGCTCTGCCGCGCAGCTCTGCGACCAGCCACTCCGCGCGTGCTGTTGATCCCAGTGGCGTGTCGGCGAAGAAGAGGAAAAATGCCGCACCTGGCGCGACGGCTTCGGCCCACCGCGTCCGCGGTGGTCCTGGTCCCGGTCGAAGGGGAAGAGGGGAAGCGCGTCGGCAGCACCCCAGATTCCACATTCCTCCACAAAATCTCGACTGAGAGGTGCATTGAGAAGAAGGCCACGCCATCCCTAGCATCTTCGATCTTTACAGGCTTCGACGCGAATGTTCAAGAATCGTGACAGCTAGCTGCCATATGCCATGTTGTCCAAATGGACATTCAGCAAAAGCCCAAAAACGGCACACGGAATCACCATCTCTGAGCCGGCGACGGCTTGAGCGAAGACATGGGAAGAGGAGTATTGACCTCGAACGGCCCGGTGCCGTGCCGAGCCGGTGAGCCGGTGCCGGACGTCGGTCGGCACGGGGTCGCGGCTCAGGCGAAGTTTGCTGACGGAGCGCAACATTTTGGAGATGAGGCCTGTGAGGATCAAACGTTTTGTTCAAAAAGGACTTGGTGTGCACGAACAACTTCTTGATACGTGCAGCCAAAAGGATGGGCACACCATAGTAGGCCAGCACGCACTTCACCATGAGCACCAGTCCCTGAGCGAGCCAAGAGTCATACATCAGCATCCAAGGAAGATCAGTCACAAATCTGAGAGCCAGACCCAAAAAACAAATCTTGAGAACTGCGTGAGGACCGACACCTGGCCGCAAAGAAAGGTGTATGCAAGAAGGCGTTTTTGCGGCAGGCGGGTCTTGGTTTTTCAATGTGCCACCGGGCGGCTCGGGTCAAGGGCCAAATGGCATCGGAATCCCAAATGGGATAGAAGAGCCCAATGCCAATCCCAATGGCAGAGACCTCAGTACGTACCCGGTACGCCGCAAACAGGCCGCTGCGAAGGCGTCGTGCGCAAGGAAGGGCCCGGACCACGTAGTGGATCACCAGGATGGAAAAGAGCCCCATTTGCGAGTCGTACCTGGGAGGAGTTTGGTAACAAGGACGCGAACGTAGCTCCTGGCATTACATGGCATTACTAGTCTCCAGGTAACACGGACGCTACAAGTTCTCTGGAGGCAAAACACGGATCTTGGTTTGCCACTTGGGCTCTTGCGTTTCTTCACGGTGTTCCACCACACGGATGATCACATAGGTGACCGCAGGCACACACCACCTGCCATGGTGTGTCGCTAGACATCAATCACGTTCTCCGGACAATCACGCCGGCTGGACATCAATGACCACGTTGTGTGATGCAAGAGTCTGCAAATCTCCCTGGCGGCTCTGACTTGCAAGTGGTGCGCAGGCGTTATGCACAAAAACATCATGGCATAACAAGGGCCCCCGAAACGTGGGGTGTTATTTTTGAGAGCCCTTTATTTATCGGTGCTTCGAGGTGTCCATTCACCACCCCAAACCAGGGCCCCCCCTGGTTTGTCAAGTTAGACATCTCCAAACCACCCTGACTCGCAGGAAAGTCTCATCTCATCACATCTCGCCTGGGAGTGCAGTTCTGTATCCGTCGTGCCGCGCCAGTGACCTGGACGGTCGACGAGGTCGCTTGTTGGGGTCAGACGCCGACGTCGCCGACGTGACACTGACCTCCCAGCGCGAGTAGAGCAGCGCGAAGCCGTAGGGTGGAACCTGGGCGTTCGGCTCGTAGGGTCGGTCCCGGTGGGAAGCGGTTGGGTCGGTCCGTCAGGGATAGAACTGACCCCTCGCGAGCTTATTTGAGTTGCGAAAGATACGGTGAGAACGCCATATCCACATTGGGATGAAGGGCTCACAAGTTGGCTGGAATGGCCACTTACCCGTTGGCATTGGCAAAAGATATCGCACAACGTTCATCGTTGCTGCGTGAACCGCACATTCATAGTATTAGAAAGCTAAAAGGAATGCTAGAGTTGCTAGTAGTAACAGGTGCCTTACTAGTAACAAGAAGCTATTAGAAACAAGCGCATCGCTTCGAGTAACAAGTGCCTTACTAGTAGTCTAGAAGGTAATGCTCACACAGATGTCTTCTCTGCATGATTGACATGCCACTGCTTGAGTCGTTCGGCCGCCAAGGACATGGTGGCCTCATCCTTGCAAAAGGCCAAGCGCACCAGCCGGTTCGCGTAATGACGAGACTCTGGCAAGTAGAAGGGGCTGACGGGAATGGCCGTCACACCCACCTTCTCAGTCATCCATTTACAGACCTTCACATCGGGTCGCTCGTCTAAGGGCGTCTCCGCCGACACGTGGTCGTCGTCGATGTGGGCAGCCTCCAAGAAGATGGTAGCATCGCAAATGATGAAATATCCGCCTTCAGGTACTAAGGGTTTTAGGCCCACCTCCTGCAAAACCTTCACCAAAAAATCGCGCTTCTCCTGCATCATCTTGGGGAACCACTCGAAATAGCCCTCTTTCTCTGCCTGATCAAAGGCTGCAGCACTCGCCTTTTGCAAAGGGGTCGGTGCACAAAAGTTCACTGCAGTGTGGCTGGCCAGCAGCGGGGCCGCCAAAGATGAAGGTGCAATAATGTATCCTCGTTTCGGGGTCGCAATTTCTCCTGCTTGGAATGTCTCAGTTTGGTTTGGTACATCCCTCTTTCTGTGCGTGAGGCTATATAACCTGGGCCCTGTTGCCCTGACTTGCGGCCGTCTGTTGTGAAAACAAGCACGAAACAAACAGTGACACGGGAAAAAAAAACAAAACAATATTTCAAAAAACAATGGAAAGACAGAAGCCTCTCTGAGTTTACTCGCTTGAGCATCCCACGCGCCAGCCGGTGCATGAAAAGGTTTTCCCCACACTGAAGAGCGTCATGGTGCGCTCGAACATCCCAGGTAAGGAAGCAAAGTGGAAATGTGAGACGTTGTCGTAAACACATCTCTCATAGACCTCACACACCAGGGGAACGTTGGCACCATTTGGCACCAGCACCCTCCCAAAAGCTCGACAAACTCCTCTCGTGCCTTGTCACTGTATCATAAAAGTATAAAGCCCCGAAGTCCAAGGACTGTATTTCGGCCCACAACCCAAAGGAAGGTCCTTTTCAGCTCACTATAGATACTATAGTAATAGTCGACTGGACTCCCCGGGCCAGGATCCTGGAATTTACAGGGATTTGAGCCAGTTTCAACCACCCTCATGACCAGTTTCAACTCTTGCCCACCCACTTGTCGAGTTGACATGCACAGAGCACCCAACCTCTTTGGACGATTCTGGCCTCATCAGAGATGACCAGTATTCTGGGATGACGCCTCACCACCTCCGCAATGGCTTCGAGCTCTTCCTGCCGGAAGACCTTTCCGAAGGGCGCCGAGGGGGTGTTGAACATCAAGATCCGCGTCTGGGGCGTAATGCTTCGTTCCAGCTCCTCCATATTCACCGACCAATCCTTCAAGCTGGCAGTGGAGCCGTCACATGGCGGTCGCAGGTTCACACCAATCAACTTCACTTGCAAGGTGGACGCAGATCGCACCACGGCGTCGAAGCAAGGAGTGAAGAGGAGCACTTCATCCCCTGGGTCGGTCCACGAGAAGAGGCTGGTGAAAATGGCTTCCTGCGCACCAATGGTGGTGACGATCTCTTTCAAAGGATCCAAGGTACGATTGAAGCGAGGCCCATACAATCGTGCCAGGGTCTCGGCTAAGTTGGGCTCACCACCGGGCCGAGTATATTGATTTCCCAAGGATTCTGGCGCTCCAGTGGTGGCAAAGACATCCCCCTGCATCGCCTTCATCACAGCATCTTGGAGAAATCTGGGACTTCCAAAGGAGGGAAATCCTTGACCCAAATTCGCCGCGCCGTGCTGCTTGGCCAGCGCGGTGAACTGCGCGAAGACATTGGGTGCCAAGGCGGCTTTCAGCCGCTTGGCTGGACGAAAGGTCTCCGCATCCTGCTCCATGGCGTTCGCGCTGAAACCCCAAAGACTGCGGGAGGAAAGAAACATGCGATGCTCTTGCCACTCAAATGTCGCGTTTTTCTCTCTTAGGCAATGATCGCAAAATGAGCATCTCACTGGTTCTCCATCTTCACTTCCAATACCTAATTGATCCATCCAAGTGTCGGGCCACCAAACCCAGGATCGCAAAGCGCGTGGCCTTCTTGCCCCTGGACCGACCGGCTCGACCGGTGACCGGCACAGCTCAGCGCGGTCGGACGCTCTCGACGGGCGTCCGACCCGATGAAGCCGACGGCGGAGGTCATGGACGGCAGCTCATTCTCCTCGGACGGGTCGAGGCGTTCGAGGCGTTCGAGTCCAAAGTGACGGTGATTGTCATACTTTGCCAGGTGGATAAGATGAGTGATGGAAGTTCTGGGTTCATACGTCATGGTGCCTTCTAGACTGGTGGCAATTGAGGACATGTGACCTTCCAACCACCACAAACAAGCTCAAACAGTCTAGACACATAAAACCACGCGACCGACTGGTTCGGCTCGGCCGCCCAACCACCGCGATGAGGAGCAAGAGCAAAAAGAGCACGGCATGCAATAAGATCACTCGATGGATGCTGGCGAACACGCCCCAAAGGGAGTGCACCTGATGTCGTCTACCCGGTACCCGCACATCAAGGCGATCAGTCCGTCCGTTCGCGATCAGTCCGTCAAGCAGGCGCACATCAAACGCACACAGAATCAACTTAAATGTTGATTTGTTGTGAACCACTCCCATTCTCAACAGCCGCAGTACCTGCCATTGAACCGGTTAAAGCACCGACAACGATGACCACCTCTATATATGTACTATACGACTGACCATAAATTGCGACTACGCCACAGCCGACGAGTGACATTACAACATGCCATGTTGCATCCTATAGCCCACCCCCCCCAAAAAAAAAAAACGTTCAAAGGGCAAAAAAGTGGTGGAACTCTTGGAACAAAGGCCAGTCATCTACCAGCCCCGTCGCCCACCACCACCAACCGCGCGGGTGTCGGCCCCGCCCTGGCGCGCCTCGCGATGCGTCTTGACCATGTTGGCGGCCAAGGCCCGTCGCCAGTTCACCCGCTGCAAGGCCGCAAAGCGATGCTGATGGGGAAGGTCGAAGAGCCTCCGGACGTGGGCGGGTTCCGGGCAGCGACGACACCCGTTCTTCCCTTCAATCCGTGCCATCCCCCCATTCATCCCCATGTGTGATCGTCGTGAAACGAAGCGGTCGGAGTGCCCTCAGACTTCCCATACCTTCGGAAGTCGGAGTCAAACTGGTGTCACCCACTCCCTCCGCTCACCGGTCACTTCTGCTTCACCATGCGTGTCACCTGGTGCCATCTTCCAAGCGCAAGCACTCGGCCATGCGCAACGGCTCGGCGAAGAGCTCGTTCCAGTCGTCGTAGTTGGCGGCATCCGCCTCAAGGAGCGGATGCCACGAAGCGGATGCCACGTCGGTGGATTCATCATGTGCCATGAACTACCATGGAAAGTGTCCAAATATCGTGTGTTCATCCAGCATGCTCCGCATTGCTTCCGCGATTGCTTCCGCGATCCTTTTGATCTGCTGTGCCCAGTCACTTCAAGTGTTCAAGTCTTGTCGGGTCCCCCAGATGGACCGACCTCACTGCCCAGTCGATGGACTCACTCACTCCGAAAGGGACATCCCATCCTGCTGTTAGTCTAGAGTCTCGTAATAGGATTCTATGGCCAGAAGGCCACCAAACCGCTTGCACTAGCTGCTCACCAAAAAAAAGCCGAGCTTGGTGACTTGGGCAGTTAGGCAACATCGTCAGCTACGACGCTATGAGCTTGCACCATTAGAGTTTCATGCCCAAAGGGTCATTTGATGGTCATTACAGTGAAAAGCGTGAGACTAAAGGCCACCGGCCAACGGTGCTATTGATAGCACACACCACTGGGTGCAGCTCAAGCTTAGTGCTGATCTCCGTGCGTTGTGCTGCTTCTGCCCCGACCAACGTCAGCCCCCAAAAATGGGCTAGGCTGAAGCACTCAGAGAGGCCATTGCCACGGAGAGAAGGGTGAAACATTGACGCAACTGCCATCGAATCCTGTCCTGTTCCATCAGCACAGCTCTGCACAGCTCTGTTGGCTGCACAAATTGCACGCTCATTTGGGGTCCTCTCAAATCGGTGATGGGGGCTCCTCCATGAGCACTTCAATCGTATAGCATGCAGTGCCATAGATGGGCATCTGCCGACAAACGGGAAGTCCATAGCCATCTAAACGGCTTGAGGTGGACTCCGGAAAGTAGCCAGAGGTCTCCTCCAAGACCCTCTGCCAAGGCACAGTGCCGTGGTCCTCTTCGATCGCCCCGTCCACCCGCTCCACCGCGTCCGCGTCCTCGCGACCGCCGTCCGGACTGAAGGGGTCGACTCCCTCATCCTCACTGGCAAGAGCTTTGAACCAGGAGGCGCCGCTGAAGGGGCACTTGGGATTGGCCACGAAGCCTTCTTCATGCTCATCATCCGTCTGTTCCGCATGCTCCGGGCGGCCCGGAGAGGTCTCCGTGGCGCCCTCCGAGAAGGCGAGGGCCGTGGACGTGGAGGCCGCCGAGAAGTGGGAGCGAGTACGTGACGAGAAGTGCGAAGACTTGCTGCTCTGAAGCTTCTTGCCCTTCTTTTTGCCCTCAATGCTTTGCACTAAATCATCTAAGCCTCGGCAATCCTCCTCTTTCCGGCGGGCCATCGCCTCCTCCACGGCGCGGTGCAGGACCCGGGTGACGCCGGGCATCTTGCTGCGCCGGGCGGTGTTCAAGGCATCTTCCACGCTGGCACCGTACAAGATGAGCTCAGCGGCCACATCCCGGTGGCTTCCCATACAAGCCTTCATCAATGCAGTGGTGCCATCGGCACTGGCGACACAAGGAGAAACACCATGTTCCAGCAGAAGTTGTGCTGCCTCAAGATGTCCATTGGCACAAGCTGAGATGAAAGATCCTGAGGCTTCTTCGGAATCGGCCATCAAGGGAACTTCTCGCAGCAGAAGCTGCACCACCCCTGCCTGCCCATTCCCTGATGCGGCATGCAATGCCGTGAACTTGTTGGGTCGAGGGTCAGCATGGTGCTGCAACAGAAGCTCAACCACCTCGGTGTGCCCATAGAGACTGGCCAAAATCACTGCCGTGCGTCCACTGGGAGTCGCATGAGAAATGTTGGCACCATGGATCAAGAGCAAGCCTACCAGCTCCAGATGCCCTGCAGTACAGGCCTCCATCAAAGCCGTAAAGCCATCGGCTGCTGCAGCATCCACACATGCACCAGCATCTAAGAGTAGCTGCGCCACTGTGAGATGACCCCCGCTGCAAGCAGACATTAAGGGCGTCCAGCCATCAGATCGTGTCCAATTCACTGAGGCACCTTTCTTCAACAACAAAGGCACCAAACCTGCCAGGCCTTTGGTGCAGGCCGTCAGCAACTGCTCTGACAAGCGTTCATCTGCCATGGCGAATGCGCAAAATGCGCATCAGATGCGCATGACGTGCCTCCAACCTTGCTACAACGCAGTAATCCAATCTTGCCACTATATAGAAGGTTTGCATGTTGTGTGCACATCACTTGCAACTGTCACACCTAGAGCATCCTATTAAGCAGAACCGAGCGGCATCAAATCAAGCATCGCACAAACATCTCCATCCCTCAACAACTCGCGAAAAACTGCACGAAATTGTAAAAACAGCGCGAAGTCGTCGACTCAGCTTGTGATGTTACGTCGACGTCATGTTTGGTCCCACGCGTTGTGAGGTCCCGGCGGGTAGAAATCGGTCATATTTCTGTTTCAAGACCTTCTTGTCCTTGCCCGTCTTTGCGTCGACATCCACTTTCACATACCACTCCTGCCAGGTGAACCACAGGTTGCGTTTGGGGTTTTGCTTTTCCATTCTGGACTTCCATGTCGCCTATGTGCACATTGGGTTAAGGGTACCACCAGGTGATCCAGGTTTGTTCTAAAAACAACATGGATTCCGCGCTCCTCAAAGATGACATTGTAAATCGGTCTGATAATCTTGGCCAAGAAGAGGCCACTCTTGGTCGTGCCAGCACCCTCATAGAGGGAGCCTGGCACAGGGCATCAAGGTAGACTCTTGATTTCAAACGTATGAAAAGGGTCTTTCAATTCAAATGGGCAGGACAAATACTATTTTGAACCTCTAACTCAACATGCGGTTCAAGTGGTTTTCGCCTCCGCTTTCGCCTGTCTTCTCTGCCGTGTTTCGCAACGGCTTTCAGTGGCGAAACACGGCGCCTCCCATTTGCACGTCCTCAGAAGCCAGCGCCAGCTCCGTGAGGAAGCAAATGAGTTCAGGCCTGGCCGTCTCTCTCTCTCTCTCTCTCTGATCGCTACTTGCTCCAGGTGGACCTGCAGTTGCGAAAAGAAAACGAAAAATAAAAGAAATCCAACGAACGTTGACTCATGTTGACTACTGGTTCATATGCTTCATATACCCGCCTCAATTACCGGCCGTTCGACTCCGTTCGACCTTGCACCTTCGCCCTCGGGTGGCCGGACATGAAGCGGATGTTGCCCGCTTCGCCCCAGACCTCAGGTCGAGGGAATCTCGGTCACCAAGTTTGGTTGGAGATGTTGGAGAGGAAAAATAGGAAAAAGAAAAGAGATGTGTCTTCAAATAGATCAGATACGATCACAAATGATCAGATAGACACATTTTAAGGAATTATTGGAGACTTTTGATCTGGCAGGTCACTGATCAGGGTGAGTGAGGTGTCATGCTATGTTCGCATATGTTCGCAAAACATGTGCTACATGTGGAGAAAAGCATGGGAACAAGAAGCGCATCGATCCTCGATCGGTGAACCCCGATTGAGGACTTCGAAGGCAGGGCAGCGGCTTCCTCCTGAGAAGCGGGTGCGAGAAACACTGAGCAGCCGCACCAGCAAATAGACGCTGATCTCAACCTGAGTCCAGACCCGCAGACGACCCGAATCGAGCTCGGTCGAGAGACCAAGCCGGTCTTAAGCACCCCAGCCAGCTGCTTCGCAGACTCACTGTCTGCATGGCCTAGTAGTCCATGTCGCAGCCCTCAGTGCATTTTGCCCAAGTTTCTTTGTAGGTTGCTCTTTCTGACATGGTCTGACCCACGGATGGATGCATAATCCGTCGGCCTAGTGGAAAAACCGGCGGCATCTGCCATATCTGCCATGGTTTCACGAGCACGGACCGTTCGTCCATTTGGTTTTCGAGTCAACCCAAGAACACAGTGGTGCATAGTGGTGCATCACGACTAAGAACACGGTGGGGTGGTGTTTAATCATGGCGTTCGTTCGAACTAAGATCTCTGCTTTCTCTTCGAGAGGGCACCTGAGGCGAGAAGTGGGATCGGTGTGTCCGGACTGATTCTGTCTCTTCGCATCCGACTGATGAAAACGGCCCACCCTGCCTGCAATTCAGGGTATGCAGCTAGCCTGTCACACAAAGTCTTTGAAACACATTCTGAAAACCACATGCCAGCCTGCTTCATCCTGAAACCGGGCAGTGATGGGTAGTGCAAGACGGTTTCCGCCAGACGGAAGAGCTATCAAATGCCCACCTTTCAACGTCCTCGAAACACTATGTTCATCCATTTTCCTCTACAGAACAGAACAGGACAGGTTCCACCTCCATCTTTGTTGGAGTGTAAAAAACCCAAAGCGAAGAGCGCTCCTAGGTGGAGGCCATCGCAAGTGAAGGCCATCGCTACTAGCAAAGGGATTCTCTATCCGGATGAACCCCCGGACCTGGGCCCCACGCATCCATCCGAGGGTCCGACCTGCTCCGCCATCGATGGAGGCCCTCCAGAAGTTCGCGATGCAAATCGGCCAGCGCATCCTCGACGGTTCGGGAGAGGCGACGGTCCGGTTCGGGGTGAACCTACAGTGGACTTCCCCGGATCGAACCAACGGTAGTTCCGAGTCGAAGTGGACTTCTCTTTCAATGGCCAACCCATGGGGTTTTGGTGAGGAGTTACGAAATCCGGTCGGTCATCCGGTCGGTCATCCGGTCGACATCGTCCCCCCCTCCGTCCGAGCCTTTAACAGTTCCGTCTCTGCCTCAGCTGCTGCGCGCTGCAGCGCCTGGAGATTTCAGAAAGGCCATCGAACAAAACAGGGCTGGCATGGTATTTCGATGTTCATCAAAGAAGAGCTTCAGAAACCCTAGAGCTGTACGGTATGTCTATAGGGAGGTATACATATATATATATATGCATATATGTTTATATATATATATAATTGTTTTTTAAATATTGTTTCTTTTTTATAGGGTCTTGATGGGTTTTGAGTCTGTAGCTCTTCTTTTCCCGCTTTTGGCATTCGATTGAGCCACAAGGCCATAGCCACATATCGTTGATTAGCCGATGAGTGCAGGGAACTTGCTGTCTTCCAATTTCAGCTTGCGCTGCTCACTACAAAGCAGCACACCCAATTAGTTGCAAAGCATGATAGACCGCCTGGGCGTTCCTGTACACTTCAAAAAGCCGGCACAATGAGCACCGTGGTTTGGGCACTCCGTGACGGCCACTGTGCACATTCGGCCGACATGCTGCCTGTATAGCAAATTCAGGAACTCTCCCATCATCTTCAGAAGGGGGTCTAAATCGGGGGGGATCCTCAGCGAATCGGCGTCGCTAGAATCGGCTGTACAACTTTACAACGGGTAGCACATGGTAGACATGCACACGAGCTACGCTCGAGCGACGCTTCCTTCTTTTGCTCGTCAGTCGTCAGTCTCACTTTTGGAGCCCCTCACTTAGGATCGAGGTCCAGCCATCACCAAAGGAGTCGCTCTTGCTCCGCCGCAGAGGGATCTCCGAAAATTTCTCCAGCTCCTCCTCCAAGCTTTGACAAGCAAGGGGAGCTACGTTCGTAGCGTCCTTGTTCCTAATAATTATAGCGATGCACCTTGTGACTTAGTAGCGCTAGCGTCCTTGCTACGTAAGATCTACTCAGAGCCCGGAGCGCCCCGGTTCTAACCGCTCCAACCGCTAACCAAACCGCTTCCAGCTCCTCCTCCAGCTCCAGAAAGGTCTTGCGCACCACCGTCTTCACGATCATCGGACTGGGCGAGTCGGACGCGTTGCTACCTGGAGAGCACTGAGGCCGGCCGGCTCGGCGTGGTGACAGGTGTGGTGACAGGTGCCAGGTGTTGGGTGGATTTGGAACCGGCTCTTAGACGGTCAAGCAAAACTATACCAGGACCATCCACTGCCTCACTTAGGTGTTGGGTGGTATTATGACACATGTCCAAGTGAGGTAGTTTTGTTTGACCATCTGTCTATAGAGTCGGTGTGGTGATGCCATCGAACCAACTTGACGATCAAAAGAATGATCTGACTATCATTTAGGGCGAGCCTAAAAGGGAATTTTCCTCACTTTGGGATTCATTCTATAGGTTTATGCCAATGTTTAGCTATCTGAACATCTCCGAACGGTGCCAAAACTGGTTCGCTGGTATCTTCTTCACGCATTCGCCGCACCTTCCGAAATGAAATTGGCCCGCGCGTCTTCCACCAAGCTGGGTGCTGTAGTGCCACCGTTCGCCCTTCGATAGGCGGCCTTTTGCAGACTGAAGGCTTCCACGAAGGCAGCCCTGTGGGTCTCCCAGTCCTTTCGCAGCACCACACATTGGTAGTTCACTAAGGTGCGGCCCTCAAGGCTCTGATAGGTCTTCAAGTCATATCCCAAAGCCGCCATGAAGGAGTGCAAGTACTCCGTCATGCGGAACTTCCTCTTCAAACGCGTCCAGTGGGTGACATCGCCACTCTTGTTGCTGATGCTGATGCTCTCGGACGAGTCCTGGACACCGAGTCGGAGTCCAGCACGAGACGAGCACCGACAAACACTGGCCCGGGAGCAGTAGAAAGTAAGATCTGATCAATACATCTGCAGAGTTGTAAACGCGCGACGCGAAAGTTCACGCTCCGTCACCCTTCAACGCCTCTTTCTCGGGAAGCAGCGGCGGTCCACGATTGAAGCTTCGCATCCCAAGCACCTCGGGTGCGGAGGGTCCAGCGCAAGGCCAGGGAGAACCCAGTATTCCACGGCCGTCCACGGCGCGGCCGGCCATCCGGCCGGCCCCTGTGTATTTTGTTGCTACTACTTGATGCTACTAACTATATCGTCTTTGCTACGTTCGTAGCGTCCGATCGCTCCGTTCGTGGCGATGCCCGAAATGCTCCTATAGTGGCTTACTACTTGGTGCTACTAACTGTATATTTTTCATCTGATGCTTGAACAAAGACTATGTCTATGTAGAAACGACGTGCAATGCATAAAACGAACGTGGACCGCGCTGCAACCAGGTGACCATGTAGAGGTTCGCGTCGATCGCACGCATCTGTTGGACCAAAGGACGGTTCAAGAACCTCAGGGCTGCCTTGTGGAGCGTGTCTGTGAGCCAGTGGAAGAACGGCGCCGCCCAATACGGCCATTTGTCCTCAAAATTCAGAAGTGATTAGCAACAAAAAGTGATTGCACTGATTCCTAAGTATCTGTGTTTGCTGTATATGCTACATCACCCTGAAGTCCAAAGGCTATATGTTGCCCCTACCAAAAGTAGTAAGGTCAGCTCACCTAAAGACCATGTTTAGAATAGCAGTCTTGCACTCCCAGGTATACCTAAGGATGCACGGTATATATGGCATGGTGTGTGTGTGTGTGTCAACGTGTGAAGCTCTTGTACATTAGAAGCTTGAAGCTTTGATACTCTCGTGGAATTTCGCCTTGATCGTGGGCTTTCGCCGTGTCTTTTCGCGTCGTAAACGCATGCATCCTAACGGCTAACGTTTATCGCATCGAGGCGCTTCAGGCGTGCTGAAGACCAAGACCACCCGAAAGCGGTTTTGCTGCCCCAAGTTGCGAGCGATCAGAATGCCTTCCTGTCCAACCCCATGGTAGTCCTGACAACGAAACGACCTGCCTTGCGGATGTGGAAGGAAAAAAGCTCTGTCCACTCATGATTCCAACAAACCACCATTGTACCACCAAAGCTCTTCGGCCTATGCGATTTTCACCTTGAGCCCTAGAACCCCTAGAAGTCCAAAGACTATACTTATCGGCCCCCGAAAGACAATCCTTTGTATAATTTGTATACTTGGACTTGGGCTCGTTAGGGAAAGTCTTGAACCGTTAGAACTTGCTTGCTCAGTTGTTAGGCCCACCCTCCTGGAAAGCTGCATAGGAGCAGTCTTTCGGCTCCGGGAAGTCTCTTCGGAGTTGATGCCGCGCTGGGATGGGCTTCGGGTCGTAAAAAAAGCTGTTCCTGGGAAACTGAACTGCGCGTGTTTAACGCAACCAGTTCAGTCCAAGTGGGGGAAGAAGAGCTGAAGCAGACAAGGAGAGTAGAAAGAAAAGCCTGAAGAACCGATTCTTTCCAACCTGTCATAAGAAGTGAGTCATCATTCATCATTCTAGCATATTCCAACCAGCTTTTCAAGGTAGCAGTCCGACAAACAGACAGAGAGCACACACCTCCACACCATCACGAGTTTGGAACACCCAGATACTCTATAAATAATATATCACGTACGACCTTCCCCAACCACCTCTGAGTATAGGTGTCATGCTCTCCACCGGTGGACCTCTCCCGCTTTTTGGTGCTCGGGCGCTCGGAGGGGCCGCTGGAGTGCCCGAAGAGCACCGAGGCGAGGCGGAAGATCCACAGCGTGGAGGAGCGTTGCACCAAGGCGTCGCCGGGCGCATAGGTCTCCTTCCCGCGTTTCTGCCACCGGAACGGCGAACGGTTGGACAGACGAGCGGTCAGACAAAAGGAAGAAAGCGAGCGACTCAAGTCCCTTCATACTGCGTAACAATCCGCATGAATATCGTATAACTATTTCATGGTTCCAAAAAAGACAAAAAGGTCTCCTCCCACTTCACCCGGATGGAGGGCCAACCTGCGTTCCGGGAGGGGGGCGGAAGAATCGAAGGGAGCCACCCAGTGGCAGGGATTTCCAACCAACCCCAGCTCCCAATCAAATCTCCGAATTCCCAGATGTTCCAGGGTTGGAGTTCCACGCGCTTCAGCTTGAAATCCTCCCCTGTGATGCTCCCTTTTGGTTCATGTTCCCCGGCCAGTCCCTTTTTTGGAACACCCAAACCTCCATCCTGGGCCGTGAACCAAAAACGGATTCCGAGCCCGGCTCGTGTCCGAGGGGCTGTCATCGAAGGTGCCTCGCACTTCAGGTCTCACCAACAAGTCACTGGGATTGGGAGGGGCATTCTCGATGAAGAGGTTGAAGAACTCGAACTTCAGCAGATGCCCCCCCCACGGGCTGGAACGATGAGACAGCGCGGCTTTGTTCTTGGTTCGAGCAGCCACTTCCCAGCCAGAGTCTGACATGCAACTGCCGGCGAGGCCAAACCATGCGTCAATTCCTGGATTCATGGAGCTTTCGAAGGAGAGGAACGAAGAGCTTCATTCTTAAGGCTTTCATTTTAAGGGGTTGCGGATGGTTGAGTCAACTAAGACATGAACCACATTCCGAACAGTGGAAAAAAAAACAGGAAAAACGTCCAGCGCCCCCAACCCCCCAACATCTTCCAGCCGAACGCCCAGAAAAAGATCCCAGGCTCTTTCCGTTCGGATGCTCATACTTGGTGGACTGAAAGCGATTTTGGAGGCCATCCCTTTTTCTCGCACCAGCACCTTCCAAAGCTGTACGTCTCTTGAGCCAAAGATCCCGATCTTTCCAAGCTAGAACTTCTGTTTTGACTCATGAACTACCCCACCTGGAAAGTTTGGGGTACTTCATGAGTCATGACTCGACTCTCAGGACAAGCCAAACACCCTGCGGAACACTTCATCGAACAGACTCCCACCACGATGGGAGATGTTGTTCTTCCAAGAACGAGGATGATGGCTTCCAAGGGCATGGGGTGACATGGGGTGACATGGGTCACTTCAAGATGTGAACGGGGAAAGATCATGACGTTCGTCATGAAACAGCTCGCTGCATGTCAGTCTCATGTATATAAGTCCCATACTAAAGTCATCTAAAATCTCAAAAGTCCTCTAACAAATTTCCAAAAAATCCATGATGCCTCGGGTTTATAGGCTCTTATACATATATATGTATATGTTCAGCCCCATTAAAGGGGAGCCATTGACGGGAAAACACGTCCTCCCGAAGGGCTTGCCAGAGTGCTCGCGTCACACTGATCTCGCCTTGCTGCCGTTCTGGTCCATGCGCACCGGCTCGGTGGCGTCGCTCCAGGAGCCCGAGCTCCATCTGCCGTCGCGCGGGACCCTCGTCTCAGCGTCTCCGTTGAAAAGCGGCGTGGGTTTGCACATGGTTGGCGGTTCCTTATTTTGCGGTGAAGCACAGTATATTGGTGTCTTTGGGGAAGAAGCACGAAGCCGGAGACGGAGCCGGAGTGTTTGGTTCCAAAGATATAAACTTCTTAATCTATCCTGCCGTGAAGAAATTGTGCACCACCATGCAGGTGGTCGTAATTGAGTGCAGAAAACAAGTCTGCTGTGCCATGGTCCTCCTTCATCCGGCTTGGGCTCCGAAGACGAAGGTCCGACGGCGTCCATTCCGACCGCCTCCATCGGTTTTCGTAGGCATCTTGAATGGCCAGGTCCGTCACGATGGCTGCATGAGACCTGGCTCGTTACCCCACACAGGCCATGGAAAGGCTTGGAACCCCCCTGGACCGTCAAAACCCATTGGCCAGGGTGTCTCCGTACTAAAGAATATAATATACACACCCACACACACACACACACCAACTCGCTCTTGCCGCGTTGAGTCTAAAGGTGCCCGGTTTTGACGTGCCGGTCGACTCTTGCAGAACCCTCCCCACCCTGTGAGGTTGATGCTGGAGATCTCTCTCCGTCTAAAGCATCAGACTTCTTCACAAATCCATCTCCAGATGTAAACGGCTCGCGAGTCGCAGAAAAGGCGCCAAACGCCACACCTCCAGAGAGAGATCAAGTGCTCAAACTGGTTGCAAACGCTGTCAGCCTCCACACCGTTCGGAGGCTGAACAACAGTGATCTGTCCTACACGTGTCGCGCAGTGATGAATCCGGGCGCGTGGAGAAGGTCCGGACCCCCTGCGTTTCGGTGGAGAAGGTCCGACCCCTGCCAGAAGGCCCCGGAAGTCATGGGGGATGTACCCTAGGCTTCCAACCACCATTAAGATGCTGAATCCCGAATCAACTGAGGATTTTACAGTACAAAAAACCGGTCAACCATGTTTTAAATGGTCTTGGAAGCCTAGGTTATAGCGTTAAAGAAAACAAACGATATCAATGCCTGAATTGGTCCCGATTCTCTTAGCCTGCTTAGCTCCATTACATACCATGACGGTCCTCACTCCGACACACAGAAAGCGTGGGATGTCGGTGAGCGTCTTCTTCAGCTTCATCGAGAAGCTCACGAGGGCCTGGAAGCAAAAGTCCAGCTTCATCGTGGCGAAGAAGGTGGCCGCTGCCCGTCCCCATTCTTGGGCTTTGGGCCTCGATCCGCAGTTCCCTTCGACCCGGAGTCGTGTCCAGTCGGGGTCGACCCACGACTTCGGACCTTTGTCCGGTGATGTTCTCTGTCTGGGTCGAACATGGGTTTTCTCCGGTTTCGATTCTCTTTCATCTCGTTTCCGGCTGTCAAGAATGGAGGACGTTTTCATGTGGCACGACGGCATGAAGCGACGGAGGGGGGGTGAGCAAGCTGAGTGGCGGGAGTGAGCTGAGTGAGCTGAGTGAGTGGCAAAGCTTTCTGATAGTCCCCCTTGCCACCAAGGCAAGAGGATTCCCAAATGGCCATCAGTTTCTGCCTTGGCGTTGTTGTCAATGGAAGGAGAACTATATATATATATCTATGATATATACATATACCCTGGAAGTCCAGTGAAGAGTAGGACGATATGCCACAGTTAAAGTAAAGGAAGTTCCTTCAAGTAAAGGGCACCGCTACTAGTAACAAAGGGCATTACTGCATTGCCACTAGGAGCAAATAGCTACTATAGTAGCTCCTGGCATCACTACAAGAAGCTACTAGGGGCTCCGGGCCTTACTACTAGGAGCGATCGGACGCCACCAAGGGCTCCTGGCATCACTACTAGTAGCATTCTTTTACTAGTAATATGAAGCTAGGACTGGGGTCACCTTTTTTGACTCAGTGGACTTCTGCACGGTTTTGGTTGACCTCGCCGACCTCGCCCCGAGACCCGGACTCCAAATCCAAGGCATTCTGGGGCCTTGGTACTCCCCCATTCGGCACACAAGGCGAATCCAAAATTGGAAGACCACAAGCAGTGGCTTGCAGTCAGATTAAGCCACAAGCATTCCCAGAGGAGCTTCAATGCAATGGTATGGCCTCAGGCACACAGGGACTCGGCATGTCACATCTTCCCTCCATGTGACTCGGAGAGGATCCATCACGGGTCCAAGGGTCCGGGCTCTTCAGGAGCTTTCTGGCCCAGCTGTCTCAGCCAAAGAGCGCACGACCTCACGTGTGCGAAGTTCGTGGCTGCCAGGCCAGTTTTGCTGGAAAAGCGGCTGTCTTGAAGAGGAAATGACCCAATCCGTTGGATTTGGAGCGGTTGTCAATCCAGGTGTTACAAAAAAGAACCTGGCGCTGTAAGATTGGAGCAGTTGGACTGTCCTCACACCTTTCTGTCTCCCGTCCTTCCTCTTCTCAGCTCTAAGGCGAAGGCTTGGATGAGACGCACACGAACAGCATGACCTGGCGTCCGTGCAACGTGAAGACCATGTTCAGAGCCAGGAAGGACATCGACCAAAGGCAGACGGAAACATGGCAGGCGGACAAACAACAAGACTAGAAACGGAATTGAGAAGTCAAAGACATCGATGGTCTGTGCATAGCAATAAGGTGCAGCGAGCCTCAGCTACCAAGACTCGGATCACAAGTCTACTGCATCATCTGCAACGACGAGAGGTGAGGTGATATATGATATATCTCGAACATGCATACCTACAATGTACCAACCACAACAAAATACTCTATACACATGCACATATATACCTAGATCTTCCAACTACGCAAAATGGTGCCTTTTGGATCCGTTCGGCTGGTTTTGTGAGTTGAAAAGGCTGAAAATGTTGCACAGTTGGAACATCTAGGTCTACGTATACTGATATGTGACAGATATTGTGTGATGTGTGCTCTTTCTCTTTCGCGTGAAGCTTCACACCTCTCAGATCCATCTGTGTCGTCCGGTCACCGCCACATGGCTCGGCGGTCCGGACAGGACGCAGCAGTCGTGACCTCTCATCAGAACGCCTCCCCAGGCATCCACGGCGAACTGGGCCGCCTGCGCCGACCAATCGAAGGCCCGGTCCGAACGGAAGGTCCGAACGGATTTTGGGGGAGGAAGGTTCGGACTCCATGAAGCCCAATTGGCTGGGTGATGGAAAACCACGGTCATGGGAGGGGGGGGGTCATGGGAGGTCAGGATGTCCAACATGTTTTGGGGGATTACTTCCAGCTGCTTGTGGATTCTTTTCCACTCCATGGCCCCTTTGAAGCCGCCCCCGGAACGACCCGCTCGACCCCCCCGACCTGGCGCAAATCGCCGGTGGAACCGTTGGACACAGCTGTCCAAGACCTGCAGGAGACCAGTCAACCCAGGTCCACCGGTGCAGAACCACCAAGATACCAAACCGTCCAACTGGGAGTGGTGGAGGTAGTGGATGGTGACTGGTAGTTACGTGGGGAGAAAAAAATCAGCCGTTGGAGGAAGTTCTGGGTATAGATCACCCGGTGACCACCCCGTTCATGATGGTTCGGAGCGATCTGTCCGAGCGAAGCCGAGTGGGTTCCCCAACACATCAAACATCAGGTTATATAGTTTCGGCTGGACTCTTCGAAGACCAAACATCGAACACCATGTGAGTCACTCGGAACGTTTGCAAAAGTAGTGCTCTTGCTCCTTCCCTCGCGCGCTCGCTCCCTCTCTCTCTCTCTCTCTCTCTGTGGCGATTTTTGGAATACAAGTATTTGGTCATAATTTTCGGCAGCTCGCAAACTGTCCCCCCCATGAGTGGAAAGCAAAAGTCGCCCTAAGGGCCCGGCTTATCACATAGCTCCAATGCAGCTCGAGCTCGCTGCTCCCATTCGGATTGTGGAGGCACTGCGCAGCGTAGTTTCGAACGATGCGTTCTGCCCAAAGGTGGCAAAAGCAATGCAATGCTGTAATGTAGACTCGTAGACTGATTGATTAATGGAAACTGGTTTCTCCAATGTGTTCCATCTCAACAAGGGGAGGGTTTCTGATCAACAGTCTACCTTAGTTGGCCAACACTTTTGCGACTGTGAACTGCACCACATGCTGTGCACACGCACAGAATTAAGAAGGCAGCCTTTGGTTCGGACCATTTTTCGATCACGGTTTTTGCGGTGAGACGCTTCTTCCTCGCCACGAGCACAGGTCGCAATGGCAACGCTGAAGCCTGGGCTGCCAGAAATGGACCCAAAACATATAGCTAAGAAGGGAAAAATGACACTCAAGAAGCCTTCAAAGGAACCTGGAGAGGAGTTTCGAACGGAGTGAACTGAAGCCTTGGCTGCAAAAGCCTTTCTTTTGGGGTTTTCCATCCTCTGCAGCACGAGCTGCACACTTTGTCCACCGTGGCGGCCACCTGCAACATCGCCAAGGCAGCCTCCAAGTGAGACGGACGCTCGAGTTGAGTTGAGATCAACGCCTCGACCCCTTTGGCAGCAGGCATTGGCCTTCTTCGTGGAATGGATGGAATGTATGCCATGTGTTTCTAATGGCTTCTTGTTACTACTAGTAAGGCCCTTGCTCCTAGTAGCGATGCCCTTTGCTCCTAGTAGCGATGTGTTTCATGGTGGAGTTCTCCATGGAGGTGAACTTAAGAAAGGGGGAAACTTCTTCGTGAAATTCACCGGCCCTTGGTTGGGGTGTACGGTGTGGTCAAAAATTGGATAGCATCCTTCAGCGCGAGGCCGTCGCGCATCTTGACTACCAGTGTGGAAACAAAACCTCCAATCTTGAAATTGTGGGAGTTCTTTGTAAATGGTAATGAACTTTAAAAATACAAAAAGCCGGCGCTTATTGTTGTCCCTTTTTATCTTCTTGTCCCGGACTAGAATTGGTGAGCCCAATTCTTCCGAATCGCTCAAAAAATACAGTAGAAAACTTGTCCTACAGAACCGGGTCATTTTGGGGGTAAGTGTTGGCAAGTATTGTACAGATGGAACCACTAAAAACATCTAAAAACCCCCTAGAAAACACGGTTTAGTACGGGATGTCCCCCATTTTCGGCACACACTTACGGAATGTTTCATATTAAGGGGATAGGATTAGTGTTAATCCCCATTAACCACTGGGGGAAATTGGGTAGAAGCCCCCAATGTGATTACATTCTCCCATCCCTAAGAATCCGGGTCCTCAAACACATAGGGTTTGGGAACCGGGCCCAGACCCCTGCCAAGAGGTCGGGTCCGGACCCCTGCCATGGAGAGCCCATTCGGATTCTTAGGGATCCTCTCATCTCTGGATTCCCACGGAAGCGGATTTCGACCTCTGTCTCGCGACCAGCTCGTTCGCCCCAAAGATGCCGCCTTCCAAGGACCCGCGGACAGCGCGGCGCTGAGGCCCACGGCATCCACATCCGTGTGCCGCAGCAGGTGCCGGGCCCAAGGCCACCGACCTCGACGCGCGCAGCGCCATCGCGCGTGAACCGCACCGCCGAACTCGGCGGTTCGGGCGGTTCGGGCCTGCGGCACAGGCCGCCACGGCGGAGTTGATGGCCATCTGCCGGTCGTGCTCGCTGGACTCGCCTGAGGACGGGACGCCCATCGCATCCATCGCAGTGACGAGCGATATCGAGCGATCGTGCAAGGGCTCAGCGTGCTCAGGTTCATCTCATTGTGACTGCTCTGGGGAGGTGTGTCCCAGGTGTGTCATCTACTGTCACCTAATTCATAACAACTTTTTTGTACACCCGCCCGCTGCTCTAAAAAGCTGGCCATGGAACTTTGGCTTGCCAGTGTCAATGCCCTGTCCCAGCAAATGCTCCTGGCCAAGCTCTTCACCCTCGTGGCTTGGCTTGAAGCATCTTGACTCAGTTCAACCGCCTTTGTTGAGTCACATGCGGAAATTCCATCCTCCAAATCACGATGACTGCCAAGACCTGCCAAGACCAAGCGGAATGCGGTCAGACCCCTGTCCGGCCGTACCCTCCCAAACTGCCCATAGAAGTGAAGGTACGGTTGCCCTCCGGGGCAACCCCCCCCTTGGAAATACCAAACGATCCACCGGACATGTCCACCTAAACACTCCATGGGGGTGGTTGAAAAGAGAAAGGAATCAATGAGAGGAATATATTCCCTACATGGAGCGTGTGGGTCATTGTAGGGAGGGTCAGCGTCCACGCTTTCTCCTGGCTGCCAGCGCCCCATTCGTCCCCAGCGCCATGGCACGGGGCCAGGCCGCCCCGGCTGCGGCCGCGCTGGCCGCTGTGGTGGTGAAGAGCGGCCTCGAAGTATGGATATGAACAATTGTATCGAGTAGAATTGGATTCTCCAAATTGGACAGATGTTCCAACCTCATAGCATATTAAGATGCTTCTTCCCTGTCAGTCTTGTTTTTTCTAGTAGCTATGGCCTCCAACCTACTAGCGGTGGCCTCCAACTGTGTTTTCTCTATACTAGTATGCATACAGTATATGCAGTGTTTCCGGTTCCCCGACCTTTTTGGATCCGCCATCTTTGGAACTGACTTGGGCGATGAGCGAAGGGGCTGGTGAACGTCTTTCGCTTCTGGCCGAGAGACACCTCCAGCTGCAGCTGTTGCATTTGTCGTAGCAGGTTGGAAGCATCTGCCCACAGAGCTGCATTGGCACAAGCAGCCACAGAGGAGCACCAGGTGATATCGTCTGGAGAGAACCGGCAGCGAACGATCCATTTCAGCTGCTCAAGTGCTACGGCCCAGGCACTACCTGAGATCTTCGAGTGCTCGGTGTTGCGTTTGGGGCACAGTCATCCACTCAAATCTCTCAAAGGCTGGACTGCTGTTCCAGAGTCTTCCCCCTCCCACATTCCCAGCTCTCTCTCTCTCTCTCTCTCCCTACACGATGCCCTCTCGTCATTCAAGTCCCGAATCTCCGCAGCCTTCAGCTGGGCGTTGAGGACTGCAAGGTTGGGCACGACAAGGCTACCCTGCGCGGCTCGGCTCGACGAGTCGACGACTCGCACGAGCTCGGCTCGGCTTCCAGCTCTTTCCCAGTGCCTGGATTCGTGCCAGAAGCACGGCGGCACTGTGCCAGAACGTCTTTCGCACCAGTGCAGATGTGGCAGCTGTCGCCGTAGCACAGCTCGGCTGCAGACCCCGCTGCTGCAACAAGTCCAGGATTCCTGAGAATCAAAGCAGGTTTGGCGGCCGATGGCAGAGGAGCCTTAGAATAAGGACATCCTCTAACTCGAAACTCGAGTTCGTTAGAGAGCGCCAACACGATCATTTCAGAGCAAAACATCTGCAAACAACCGCTTGCTCTTCAGGAAGGTTCGAAGATCCAAGCTGCCAAAAGCAGCCTCTGGGGACATTGCAGCTGTGCAGGCGGCAGTGTCCACATGCTTGGACATGAGCAGTTCCAGCGCCAAAGGCCTCATACGGGATACCAGTGGGATACCAGTGGATACTAAGGAGCACACCTGCTTGTCGTTTTCAATGCTTTTTGTGGCTTGACTTTGGCCTCAAGGATCCTGAAGGCATCACGGTGACGTTGACCACCCGCCCACCGCCCACCGCACCAGTGGGGCTCGGCGCACAGGGCCAGCGTGGTGCAGCAGTTCGTCACGTCCGACTGCGCAGCCATCGCCACCTGGTGACACAGCATCTCTTTGGCTGGGAGAAGAAGGAAGAAGGAAGAAGAAGGAAGAAGACAAACAGGCCAAGGCAAACTCTGGGCTTGAAAAAGGCCGAAGTTGGCAGGAGCATCTTCGAATCTAAGTCTCGATCCAGTGATGCAGCAGCAAACTGCCAGGCAGTCTGCTGGCGCCCACCTGGGTCGCTCGGAACCCGGGTCGCTGGAGGTGTTCATTCGTCCTTCAACTCCATCGTTTTGAGAAAAAAGGCACCACGGAACTGGTGATCCGAAGTGGAAAGAAGTGGAAATCACCGAGTGAACTTTGGGCTGGGGGATACTGACCTCTCAACTGGTTCGTGGGTTCGACGAACCCAGACCATGATGGTCCTCTAGAGAGGCCCGTTTGGGCCATGCCATCCACGTAACCATCACTAAAGGCAAAACCAAAGGGGTATCCAAACAATATCCGCATACTTCTACTACTACTTCTCATTGCATACCCCGTTCGTTTTGCCCTGAGTGATGATTCCATGATTCCAGGGGCCTGCCAGTCACGTCTCGCGGCCGTCACACCGACGACCGAACTCCACGTACCACGCCAAGGAGCTCAGTGCAGAGGCCAAGATCCTGGGACTCAATGAGGATGCCGTGAGGGCTTGTTCCCATTGAACCTCAAGCAGGGTCTTAGAATGTCTTAGACACATAGGACCTTCTCATCAACAAACACTTCAACAAACATCTTGAACAGTCGATCTGATCGAGGATTGTGTTTTGCAGTATGTTGCGTTCATCCGAGTGTTCGTGCTTCTTGCGATGTCTTTGATGTTCATGAGTCAAGTATTTCCGGGACTACCAACAGCACTCTGCAGGCACCTCGCCCACGGTCCGAGCAAAGACCTCAAGGGTCACGCCATCTGGCTCGATGTTGCATTCCATCATCCATCGCAGCCTTCAAGTTGGGCCCATCTGAAAAAGAAACGCTCCATCTTGTTAAGGAAATGCATGAAATTCATCACCGCGGTTACCCCGCTGCGACGAAGTCGGCAGGACTTCGTTCATCCTTCCACCGATCCCAGTTCGAACCCCAAATCCCCCCCGGCATTGGGCGGTTTTCAGCGGGGAAATGAGATGAAATGAAAGAACGGGACATGCGCAAGAAAAGAACACACGAGAGATTGACTTAGGAGCAGCCCAACAACGGCCATGGCCATGCCCATAACAACGCCTCCATCCCCGAGTCAGAAGGGATCTGCAACTCCCTCAATCTCCAGAGAATAGAGATCAACCTTTTGACACCACCTGTTGGTAGTGGGGGTGAACGGAAACCAATCCGGAGGTCCTTCACCATCCTTCAGCCGCAAAGCATCGACGGGCTCCGGCGCCAGGAGTTCCGCGAGGACATCGGCGCGCGGCCCAAAGCGGGAGTGGCTGCTGCCACATCCATGGCCAGTCGAAGCACTGAAGCACCACGGAGGAGTGCGCTGGCGGAGCGCCATGCATGGCCTCAGGCTAGCGCCATGTCTGATCCGTGGTCTCTCTATGGACGTGGTGCACTTTCGGTTCCTTCCGGAATAAAGAGAAAATCAAAACTGGCACGAAAGCTTCAAGGTTCAAGGTGGGTGTTGTTTCAGGCCTCTCTGGGACACAGACTGGAAAGCCTTTTCTGCGCCTTGTTTTATATTCCCTATAGTGAACGACCCACCCAGTTCATGGATTCGTGCTTTCTCGGGTGCTCTTCCCCACCAGCTCTCTCTCTCTCTCACTCTCACTCTCGTGCGTCAAGAATGGTTTAATGCAGGCGTGTGACCTTTCATGCACGCATGGATGGCGCTGCTCACGGCTCGTTCTTCGCGAAGCCTGAAATCCATGCAGCGCTGCCACAGTGCCACACGTTCGCACGCGCCTCGCGCAGGACGGAGTCCGAAATCTCCGGCGTCTCACTCTTTGCTTTCGGTGACAAGAGACGTCCACACACGCATGGCAACGACGTGAACGAACACACACGAGGCGCAAGTCTTCGAACAAAGTCCCGTCTGGCCAAGGCTCTGCAGGCGGAGTTCATCGCAACTTGGTCAGCGGGCACGCGCTGCTGACCCATCCTCAACAGAAAGAAGGAAAGGAAACGAGCCAACATACAGCAACTCTTCGAACATCTTGGAACCTTCGAACATAACTTGTACATTAACTTACATCCAGTCAGAACCGCCCACATACAGTAACCGTAGTAACCGTCCGCCTTGCTTCACCTTCCAACCGCCACTGTCCAAAACAGCCGGACCCCTCCTCTGGTGGAGCAGCAGGGAGATGGTCCAAAGCTCCTTCCGGCTGCAGGCCGCAATGGTTGTGCTGTACCCGATGGAGTCCCCCTGATGGAGTTTCGACGACTTCGACGACTTCGACGTCTAGTGGACGAAGCCAGCGGACTCGGTGTTTCAGGCTCCGATCCGGCTAAGGCACTCCGAAGGCAAAGAGAAGTGCCACCCCACGTTGCCACGCTGCTTGCCGGCCTGGGTACACGGAGCCGTGTGTAGCTGGAGCCATGATGGTGCCATCATCAGGCTCAAGGGGAATGACAAGAATCGCGGCCAAGATTTGGAAGATACTTTGTTGATGTCTAGGAGCCTAGTACTACGACTAGGAGTTGTTCTTGTTCTACAAGTTCCTTATGCTGCCTATGAGTTTTTGGGGATCAATTGCCACATCGGCAACTGGGAGAACGGGAGAACGAGTCCAGGAATCAAGGGGGTCGGCTTCTCATTCGGTGGGCACTTTGAAGAGGAAGGCTGTTTACAGCACACTGTGTGGCACACACCCGTTCAAAAAGGGGGATGCCAAAGATGGAGTTCTAAAAGGAAATCTGACCAACCTCCGTCCAAGCAGCTGAGAGCTAGAAGTTCCTTGCGAGCATCCAAAGGTTGATCGACGTCAGCTCGGCGCACCATCAGCTCTGCGAGCTCCGCGAGCTCCGCGAGCGCTGCGGCACGGCCTCTTCCACACCGCCCTGCACGGCGGAGTAGAAACGCTTCAGCAAGGCTTCAAGCTGGCTTTCCCAGCCCACTTGACCGAATGGAACCAAGCTATCTTGAAAGCCTTTTAAGACCTAAAAACCTGTTAGAACATTGGGTGGCAAAAAAATAGAGTTCTCAGACAAAAGAAATCCACTTTAAAATGTGTTCGGGCCTTGCCACAAACCAGTGCGTCATTGCATCCATTAGTCCAACTCTGTGCTCGCCGCGAGCCGCCATGGCGTGGAGATCGCCTTCAGCTGGAGATCCCTGGTGGTAGACATGAAAGCCATGAAAGCCCAAAAGCATCAAACGCGAGAAACTGGACGGCTCTCCCTTAGCCTTAGCCAAAAACAACAAGAATCTCTTCAGTTCGAGAGCTCGATCTCTAACTTGGGGACATGCAAAGTGCCCAAGAACATGTCCGAGCTCTGCACAGAAGCCACTCATTCATGATTCTCATCATTTTACCATGACCGTACCTACTGACCCACTGCGCTGTGCTCCACCGTGTTCTCTTAGAAGCCTGGAGCCACTAGGGACGATGCCAACATGGCCAACGAAGCAGAATCCAAGGTGATGAGAAGGAACTCACAACCAGCCATGTCGGCCATGTCCTAGGTTCCTGCTTCACCGAACATCGCGCCGCGGAAATGGATTTCCCTACCCTCCACAACGTTCCGTGCGCTTCATCTCGGCCGTTCCTTTTCCTCCTTTCGCGCCTCGAAGAGCCCCACCTGCACCCGCACCGCCGGGCGAGCCCGCCGCTCCGGCAGAGAGCCCAGTGGGACAGGAAGGAATCGTTCGTAGCTTCTTGCTCCGTTCATGCTCTTGTTCCTAGTAGCATCCTCTACCCCCCCCGCGCACGCGCGCGCGCGAAAAAGCTCCTGGTAGCTGTTTTTCCAATTCTATAATTCTAGTTCCAATTTTAGATCATGATGTTATACTTCTAATTCTTGTTTCTATTAGCTTCTTGTTACTAGTAGAGCGGCCAAGAGCCCCTAGTAGTTTCCTTGCTCCTAGTAGCGATGCCGTTCCTGCCACGAGCACGGCCGAGATGCCGGGGATCTCCCATCCAGCCTCCAGCGGTGCACTCCGTGTTCGTGCAACTCCGCCGTTCGGCTCCGCGCGCGGGTCGTCCACCGCCGTCGTCGGCTCCTCCGCGGTCGTCGGTTCGTTGGGGCGTCCGTCACCTCCACTTCGGACGTCTGCACCGGATGCGAAAAAAACCCTCGTACCCAGTGCCACCAGTGCCAGGTGCAAGATCTGAGCCAAAGAGGATGGGCAATGGCAAAGTACGAACTCTTCTCACCCATGCTGGAATCACGCATCGTCTGATCTTCCCGTAGGCAAAGGCCGAGGCTTTGGTCCTTGGTCATCTGCGGTCGAGATCATGTTGGCCAGCCAGAGTAGCATGTTGATTGCAAGCTCTTCGGGGGCCAAGTGCCAAACCTGGATTTGCTTTTGGAAAACAGAACGCAAAACACAATCCGCCAATCCACATAGATATCATAGATCAACTTTAGAGAGGGGAACATACACCTTGTCAGCACTCTTCTCGACAAAGTTTTAGGCTTGAGAAATGATGTTGAGCGGAAAAAATTGTTACACTTACAGTCCCAAACTACCACATTAAGAATCCAGAACTCCTTGTAGTTCCTTGCTTCAACTGGGGAACGATGAAGATGAAGACCTTCACTTCCTGCTCTGTGTTCCGCCGCGCTCCTGCTGGACGAGCTCTTGCCTGTGGCGCCATTCTGTCATGGCATGTCTTGTGTGTTCGCTGAATCAGCGCTGATTCATTGAAGAAAGTCATGGCTGGTTTCCTCTTAACAACTTCGCTTTCTTAAGGCCAACAAGTCATAGTCACCACCTTCCCCAAGCATTCTGGACATGTCCGATCCGTGAGCAGGATTTCCCGGTGGCTTCGAGGCCGAGTTCAGTTCCCTGAAAAAAACTCGGTTTCAAGCTGACTTTCACACGTGAATGTTCTACGGAACTGTCATATGTCTGGCAGTTGGTGGCACGGGTGGCTTGCCTGCAAGTTTGTATGAAAGAAGGGAACATGACTATCGCGGTTATTTTGGATGAAGACCATGACACGACACCTAAGCAAAGGCTGGTGTTCTTTCCGGAGTCTCGTGCTCACGGGTGCTTCAGTCAAAACCTTGGCACAAAAATTCAGGACAGCTGATATTGTAAATATTGCCATACCCATACCCATATACTTGTGCCATATACCCATATACCATGTGCTCCATAAGGGAGATTACATAAAGCGCCGCACTCACTGCGAAAAGGTCCGGTGTGTTGCTATGTCATGGCCCGGCCTAGCAAATCGTCGGAAAACAACACTCACGTCGCACCGTCGCACCGTCCATTGATATCGACTCTAAAAAATATAGTTATATAACTGTGACAAAATTCTGCCTGTTCATCCATAAAAGTCTGCCCAAAGGCAGAACATGTGGCATGCCGTTGGAAGATCCAGGTCATCAACTTGGTCTCCCACATTCCATGCGGATCTATGTAACCCGTTGGAGGCTACTCAACCAGGTGCTCAGAGTCTCTGAGATCACACACGAAACGGTTCAACCAGCGAAACGGTCTCCTCAGGACGTGCTGCGCTTAACGCGCCTTTTTCGGAGGTGCGCCGCGCGTCCGCAAAACGTGCTGGTTGCGCCCAAACCGGGGCCCCGAATGGGCCAATCACATGGCGACTGCGAACAGGAAGATGGGACAGTTGATGAGTGCATCTCGAAGAACATTCTTTGCCTGCTTGAAGCGAAAGGGCCAAACTCATCGTGCACATCAAAGTCAGACCACATCGTGGTCCTCAACCTCCGTGCTAGACCAACTCTCAGGCTGAGCTTTCCGGAGTGCCAACTTCTTCTGTTTCTACAGGACCCATAAGTAACAATCCGATCTGGGACTGGTGGAGTTTCACCGCCAGCGCCACCAGCTCTTAGCGAAGACCTGCCTTCAGATCGCCTTGCGCCTGCAGCTCGTGGAGTAAGCACTGCACAATCTCTTCGTGGCCGTGGGTCACCGCATAGCGCAGGGCCAAGGTCTCTATGGCTGCCCGTGCTTCGAGGAGTTCATGAACTACAGCGACATGTCCACACTGTGAGGCTGTCGTCAGGGCACTTCGCCCTACATCGCTCTTGAACTCTGTATTGGCCCTGGCTTCGAGCAAGGATCGCACGGCGCCCGAATGACCAATCTGAGCTGACAGGAACAAAGGAGTACAGCCATGTTGGTCCTGCAGGTCCGGGTCGGCGCGTCTTTCAAGTAAGAGCCTCAGAGCTTCCAGATGGCCCGCCGCGGCAGCCAAGTACAGCCCCGTGCGCTTGGCTTTGTTCACCTTATTGATCTGCGCGCATGCGTCCAAGAGGCAACGCACGCCCCTCACATCTCCACGTGCACAAGCCGCCATGAGAGCCGTTTGACCTTCCAAGTTCACCGCATCTTTGTCGGCGCCCGCTCGAAGCATCAAGTTCATAAAGGTAAAAAATCCCCGCTGCGCTGCGATCATCAGGGGACGTTCCCCATTCCGATTCGTCCCATCCACATCAGCTCTCACCAGTAAAGTCCGGGCCACCTCCACGAAGCCACCCTCCGCGGCTAAGCAAAGACCAGTGCTTCCCACATCATCTCGCGCCTCAGGAAGGTGCAAATAATTCCCAATTTGACCATTTATAGATCTACAGTAGATCTGTCCATAATCAATAATTGCACACATGCCTACCCATTTACATGCACAAAATATACCGATGTGTATATGTTTGCGCCAATGTTGCGTATGGGTTCGGTTCACTCAAACCCTTCCTGCCTGATCCTCCCTGATCCTGCAAATTGTCGGACTGTAAGAAACAATATTACACCACCTAGTTTGTTTGGTCCAAGTCCAGACAAGTGTAAAAATCATGCGGCCACACCACCAAAGGACTGGAGACAGTGGGAATCAAATGGGAAACAAGTGTAAAATCATGCGGCCAAAGCACACACAGGAGACTGGAGAGAGTGGGGCACAAGTGGGAGACAAATCATGCGGCCACAGCAACCAAGCCCGGAACGCAAGTGTGGCAGGAACGCAAGCCCGGACCCCTTTCAAAGGAGTAAGAACCCCTCAAGGGTAAAAGAAGTGCGTTTCTTTTTGCGGTCACGCCAGCCAATCCACTGGCACTTCCTCCCTTCCGTGCCTCAGGATCCGCCTCTGCCCACAACAGGCACTGCACCACTTCACGGTGACCTTGAGATGCGGCCAGCAACAGTGGCACAGCGCCACTGGGAGCGCTGCCCGGCAGGGCAGCGGCATCTAAAAGGAGCTGCACGACTTCCACATGTCCTCCTTCACTGGCCTCCAGGGAAGGGCTGGATAGAGTGAGGAATGTACATTCCCTTATGGATCCTTCGTTGAGGGTCCAGTCATACCGAACCTGAGGTTTGGTGGATTTGGCTGGTCACAAGACCATTTGAGGTTCACCCCTGCTTCCCTCGTCGAAAAAAACCCCCCGAACGAGTAAGCACAGTGTGCAAATGAAGGCATAAGGATGCATAAGGCATGCGGCATCCGCTGCGCACCGTGGCTGAAAGCATTGGCAAGGGGACGTTGCTGTCCTTCTTTCTACCAAAACTCCAAACCAATCCACCCTCCCAGTCCCACCGGGGAACACCACGCCACACGCCTTCACCAGCGTCGTGTCGCCGGACTCATCGGCCGCGTTGGGATCTTGGAACCTCCGCAGCAGCGCCGCCACGTCCGCGGCGGCGCCCGCGGAGGCCGCCCGGAGCAGCTGCGAAGCCTGGTCGCTGGGGGATTGGAAGGCCACCTGGAGCTGAGTGGGGCGACCCAAGCGAAGCCAGGTGCTTCCATCTAAGATCTGCTCCTGGAAGAGGAGTTGCTGACAGAAGTGCGCCACGCCCGTGGCCGCACGGATTTCTTCCTTGATATACTGCCAATCCGCGTCCTCGGGTAGAGGACTTCGAAGAATCAACTCACCCGTCAGCGCCGAGGAGACGTGCAAAAAGCTCATCCAACGAAGCCTCGAAGCCTCTTCCCCAGCGATAGCGATCTGCGCGTCGCTTCTGATTTGAACCCAGAAGCTGCGATGAGTTGAGCCCAGATGTGGGAGAAAACATGAATGAACATCTGAAAATGATCATGTCGCCCTACCAGCTCTACCAGTTCTTCACTCCAAAGAAGCCACAAGTGGTGTGGTTCGCCCCCCCCGGCGTGGCGAAAGGCCTACTGGCCGCGTTTGCGTCGCCCGGTCCAACGGGTGACCTGGGTGACAAAGGCGCGCTCGGCTCAGGCCCGGTGGCCCGGACGGGGAGAGCAAATGACAAGATCAAAGAGGATCAAAAGGGAAAGGGAAGAGATCAACATGAAACAAGAGAGAGAAAAAAAAAAGACAGAAACGTAACATGAAATGGACGAAAGATCGAAATTCGATGAAGTTCAGAATCAATGCCGTTCGTTCTTGCCAATTCACCGCATCCTCCTGAATGTCTTCCAGCATCTGTGCCACGACGCGGTGCTGTCCACCTGGTGTGGGCCACCGGCAAGCCCGCCCGAGGGCCGAGGGCAAACCGTCTGGTTTCGGCACCCACTTGGGATCTTCAGTGGTGAACATGGTGGAAGGGGTCCATGAAAACGGGTCCTCAAAAGTGTGGGATCCTCAGTGTTCCTTGACGGGTTGCCAATGCCGCTCATGTTTCTGAAAAACGTTGCCGACGGTCGCATCAGTGTTCTTCAGGGTCAGTGGTTTCTGGTGTTGGCTGGAGTTCAACTTCAAAGTCATGCTGCGCCTTTCTCGTGCGCCCACACCGGCGCATGATGTGTGGTCAAAGCATGCTGCCAATGGCCACGGCAGCTTTCACAAAGAGCTCGATGACCTGATCCAAGCACCGTTGGAGGGTGAAAACCATGACATCTTCATGTCTGAACGTCTTTTCAGTGTCTTCTTTCCCATTTTCCAGTTGGCAGGTGGGTCCAAACCTGGAGCTCCAAACCGCAGGTGGACCTCATGACCACGCAGTGCCCACACCGCTTCCATGGCAAGAGGCTTGCGGCGCTCGGTCTGAGCCGGGTCAGTGACATCATGCCTCAGGGACATCACTCGGGTCAGGTTGGAGGCCTATCGCTACTAGTAGCAAGGGCCTTCAAGGGCATCTCTACTAGTAGCAAGGACGCTACTAGGTTGGAGGCCTATTGCGATTAGGTCGAATTCTGCCATATAATACAGCATCATCGCATATCATCGCTGCTGCAGAGAGCTGAGTGTGAGGACTGAGCTGAAGCGCAAAAGCTGTGAAAACCGCCCACGGTTCAAGCCGCAGCGGCCCACGGTGAAGAAGGGGAGATCGGAGAGAGTTCCTCTTCGACTCACCGTGGTCGGAGAGAGTCCTCTTGCTGCCCAGGAACACATGATCTCAATGGCCAGCTTCCACTGCGCTGCCCCCTGCACTGGGGAAAGAAAAAGAAACGCTGAGAGCAATGTAAGAAAAAGAAACGCTGAGAGCAATGTAACGTAACTAGAGACACATGTGTAAAACAAAGCCCAAAAAACAAACTACCAGAATCAAAATAATCAAAAACCGGTGATAAAAACCTGTGTAGCACCGAGGTCACGCCTGCGCCCCTTGGCTCCACAGGAAAAAACAAATTGACTTGAGAGAGGAGGGGGTGAACGAAAGGTAGCAGGCAATCACAAGCAACCCTGGTAAAAGTCCATGACGGCGTGAACCGGCGCAGGGGGGATTTGATCCAGGGGGGGGGCCCCCCCCCGACGAACAGAATCAACTCTTACAGGACCAAATTCAATGCACAATCCCAACTCCTGATTGTAATACATTTTTGCTAAAGCAAGGAGAACTCAGGTAGCTCAAGCTACCTTTCGTGACTTGTGCCTATGGACGCTAGTGGTTTGCTGTAGGCTTCGTTCAGCCGAATCAGATTGAATCCGGTATTCGTTAGCTAGCCATAGCTAGAGGCCTACAGGCCTAGCTTCGTGTCAGACTTGCTTCGTGCCTCACACGCATTGAGCAGGAGGTTGAAGCTCACCACACTGGGCCTCAGGGCGGAAACCTCGCGCGACCACGAAGGGCGTCTCTCGGACCCAACCCATTGGAGCCCTCGAGCCGGGTGGCAGCCGAAGTTCGTGCTTTAGCATCCTGTTTCACCGGGTGTCACCATGTTCCGCGTTCCGACGGGTCTCTGAGGTCCGCAAAGGTCAACCGGTCTGGTCGGTCTCTGAGCGGCCAAGAGACTCTGAAAGGCCAGCGATGGCATGCTGCCACATGGCCAAGGCAGCCTCCAAGCGGTCCGAAGACGGGACCAACGACGGTCGAGTCCTTCGTTCGAAACGCAACATTCGGGTTGCAGAAACGGACTCGATGTCTATAGCGTTGGACAATCCAAGGAGCACAACCCATGAAGGCTGCATTTCTCATCTCAATACCCACTTCCATCCGTCGCACCTCTGCGGCCATCCGGAGATCCGAAAAATTCTCCCGACTCCGCTGCGTTTGACGTCGAAAACCCGTGGTTTTCACTGAGGCCAGTTCCATGACACCAGCCAACAAAGCCAGGGAAGTCTCCCACACCGCGCTGCTGCAAGCAAAGGCCGCAGCACCTGTCACGTCTTCTGTCAAACGCACGTGGCGTTCCCAAAAGCGGCATGCTGCCGGAGAAAGAAAAGGAACCCTTTGACAAGAATTTGACTCTGCTGACCGTAGGTCTTGTGGTCGAGGAGCAGCTGTAAGATCTGCAAGGCCTCGGTGTTTCAGAATTGGCATTTTGGAGTGACATGTCTGGGTTCTACACCGAGAAACCTCGAGTGTGCAGTGCAGAGGCGGTCAGGAATTCAGAAGTCTTCGTCTTCGTCCACATCGGTCCGGGCGCTTCGCCCAAAAGAAAGCGCCTCCTCGGTTTCTTGGCGTCCCCTTGTCCACAACACCCCTCAGACCTCGCCTGTGGCCAGGCAGCACCACGGCACGTGCCGATCGCTGTGATCGCGCTCGACGCGAGTGGTCTCGAGGTCGACGCGGCACGCAGGGTGGCCTGGGCGGGTGGTGCTTGTCACCTGAGGCTTGGCATTTTGTGCAAGAAGGCTTGGAGCGCTTCCTTGTGGAAGTTGCAGGATCTTCAGATATCCCAAAAACCTAGCAGTCCAGTGATCGTGGAACCTTCGCCCAGATGATTCTTTTGCCCCTAAGAGGCTGGGCCCTCGGCCCTCGGCGTTCCTTTTTGGCTCCTCGTTTCGGCGCCCATTCCGCCAGCCCGACGCGCTCAGAGATAGCCCACGCGCTCGCAGACGACCGAATCGTCTCGCGCCTAAAGGGTCTGAAGAACTGGGGCACTGACGCGGACCGGTCCGTGCCCCAAATCAAACAAATCATATAGGTATTTGGCAGGGGAGAGGAGGAAAATGTGGCTACAAATTCAGAAGAACTGTGAAGAAGGTGACGAGAAATCTCGAGTCAGAGCCTAGCTCCCCTGCACCCCAGTTGGCTTGCGCACAACAGGGCAATTCCACTTCCAGGTTGCGTTCTCGATGATCACTTCCGAACCCAGAAACCCAAGCTGGATTCCAAATGGCAGTTGCAAAGCTCAACTGGGCTTCACAAACACATCACACACAGGATCGCCGCGGAATCCTCACTTGAACGCTGTATAGAACGAACGAACCCAAACCCCAAACTGCTCCCCCAACCAGAAACATGATGAAACATGAATGACTTCCGAAAATGTATTGAAGATCCTGAAGATCTCTTCATTTGGGAGAACGGAACAAACGGAGCTGGCCTTCTCCGTTGTTTTCTGTGCACTCATAAAAACCGAGGCAGGAGGCAACAGCGAGTCCTTTGAGCGTAAACTTGGTTTGGTCGATCTGGGAAGAACATGGTTGACACAGAAAAGCAATGTTGGTCACTTGAGTTGAAGATTCAGACTCAAGACCTCTCTCTTGAATCGTCTACATCCTGAAGGCCTCCCACCAACCAAGGCAGCGTGTGGCGGACACACGTGATTTCAGGGCACATTCTGAACCCCGATTGACCACCAGCGACGTGTGAAGCCGCTCGGCTGGTCACTCAAAAAGCACCAAAATCGCACAAGTGATGATACATTTGATGAATCTTGCCGTCGCAGGAGTTCAGTGCCGCATGCAAGAAGGCTCAAGCTGCAGTGTGCTGCCCCCGGACAGCACATCACAAAATGCTTCTTTCGATTAACTGTGCCGCTGTTTTCAGGTGTCAAGGGTCCTGTTTGGTCTCTGGCACGACAAAACAAAGGAAGCAAGAACATCCGTGTTCACCGACGTCAATGCCGATGTCGCCGTACGAGATTGACCTGGGACCCAACTAAACATGATTTCAGCTTCGTGCGCAGCCTTGGGCAAAGTTGGAAGATGTGGCTGTGGGTCGCTCGCTCCCTAGCGTGGTGAAAGGACCCTGTTCGTGTTCGTGTCAACAAGGAACATGACAAGAATTGAAAAGAGCAAGACATGTGTCTTGAGGGCAAAACGAAAGGTGCAGGAGTTTGATCCACAGCCGCGTTTGCCCCACGTCTTGTATGACTGCCAGGGCTACAGACATCGTAGATGACTGTTTCACCATAACAGCCCGCAACGAGAACATTCACGGAACACTTTGTTCTTGGGCAGCGCCGCGCTGGCGCCAGGAGGGATGTCACAAGGTTTACGAGCACCATCCTCATAAGAATTACAACATGTCGACATTTACGAAGAATGCACGTGTCGAAGGCCGGTGTTCTTTTCCGTTGCGTTCGTTGCGGGCTCAATGCAGTTGCAAAGGCAACTGCAACTTCGAGTCGCAAACTCTCTTCAGCGACCAGAGCGAGGAGAGCGATTGCAAGAAGTCAAAGCACTTTTCGCACCGTTTGAGGATGACTCCTTGGGCAACCACAGCACGGAAAAGCTCAGCACCATCCAGCACCCCAAAAAAGAAGTCACAATCCGTAGAAACGGCATCATGGTGATAACTCTTGCCAGCCACCCGTCTGGGCGCCCGTGGTTTTCAGGGGTGCTTCCGTTTGGCCGTTAACTGCGGTCGAGCATCGATGGTTTTCACTCATGGCCCGCAAGTTTTTCCGGGCGAGCATCTCTGTCCTCCCCGTTTTTGTTGGGCGAGTCTTCTTGAAACGCCGTGGCGCACGCACCGCTGTTTTCAAGAGCTGTCTCAGCGCGTGATGATGAATGGTGTGCATGTATACAACTAATGTCTGTTGTGTTGCGTATATCTGTCCATATATATATAGAGACACACCTATAAGACCCATATCACGACCCATATCTAAATAGTTATATGCAGCTCATGATGTCTGGATGTGATCTTTTGAGAAGCCAGTGCGTCAACCCACTGGTCCGACAAATATGCATTGACTTGTTGCTTCGCTATTGGTGCGCCTCTGAAAAACCAATACACACCTGGAAACGTGTCCTTTTCTCCATGTTTGGCGTCTTGACCACGACTAGAGGAAAAAATCGAATCTTTTGGCCCTCCTCCCGGTGATGTCAACGCTGCCATCCGTTTGGACCGGCTTCAGGTTGCCCTTCTCCTTGGCAAAACTGGGAGAGGGATCCACACTCTTTCTGTTTTCGCACCACCCACCACAAAAAGGAAAAAAAAACCGCCCGCAAAACACCACCGAATTGGTGAAACCTCTCGTGTTGTTCTTCCTCTCCGTCTTTCGTCCCAGTTGGAATCGGACTTCGACCGATCTCGTTCCTGTCCGTTCGGAGACGACGAACCGCACAACAACCGCACGTACGCACTCTGTGTGCACTGCGCCCCACTGCGCCGGCACAGACAGAAGACATATGTTTTAAATGGACACCCATCTAAAGGACATCATGGGGTCTATGCCAACTACTTCTGAAAACAAAAACCTGCGGCACGTCCGCGGTGCCACCAAACCGCTCGTGCGGCGATCACGGGCACCACGGAATTCAACTCCTCATTGAAGGTGACGCGCGGCGGCCGCGGCGCTTTGCTCGTGGACGGCGGGTCGAAGTCGATCACCTCCGTCGAAGTGGCGCCACGGAACGAGGCTCAGAGGTCCGGCCCGATCGTCTCGTTGGTCTCCCTTCTGGATGACTAGGACCCCCAAAATGATCCAAGCATCGCCAAATTAGCTGAAAAAGTGATGCTCCACTCCTTTCTCCTCTCGTTCGCTCAACTTCGCCTTCAAGCGCTTGAAACTTAGCCGAAGAAACGACGACGCGCTCCCGATGGTTTCGAACGCCTCGGGTGACTCCTCCCTCTGCGGCGTAGCATAACAGCAATCTGGACTGGACCTCGAAATCCAGCGAGACAGGCGCCTCTCGCCGGTTCTGACTCCAAATCGGATGACCCAATTCAAAGAGGCTCGGGGAGGTTTGACCTCCACCGGCGGCGTCCGTTTCGTGGCCAACGGAACAAAGCTCCGCTCGCTCCGTCGCTCGCTCCGTCGCACGGGTTGGTACGGCCGAGCTGCACGCGCTTCGCTCCGGACATGACGCTGCGGCGGAGCTTGCGATCCGGTGAGAGTGGCCGCAAGGTCTTGCAGGCCTCGGATACAAATGGGACCTATAGAAGCCATGGTGGCAGGTCTCCCCAAAACAAAAACAACACAAAACCAAGGGGGGTGGTTCTTCGTTCGGGTTTCAGACGTCGCTCGAGTTTTCCGCCATGCCCAAGCTCTGTATCTGAGCTGCTGCATCTCCCTTGTGATCCACTGCTAAAGCTCGAAGACAAAGTGGCAAGGAATTCCTGTCGCAACATGACTTTGGAATGCTCTAAGATGACAACTCGGAGTTCGAATGCTGCGGCGGCAAAGGCCCAGTTGACCAATCCAGAAGATCCAGAAGCAGTGATGAGTATCACTCCATCTCTCCCTGCTCAGTCCTGTTTCCTTTCAACATCTTTCAACCCTTTCGCTGTCTGAGCTCTTCTCGCCTCACTTTCTCCGAGCTCGGAAACCTGCGCCGCAGCGCCGGGGACGTCAGGCGCCTCGGTCGTTCCGGGCGCCACGAGGCGCCTCCCGACGTCGTCCCGCCGAGGCCGACGGGCCGCGTCACGCTGAGTCTTCGGCCAGCGCAAGTTCTGGAGTCGGGCGCTGTGGACAGAGCCACGGTCGGCCATCCTCGAATGGCCATGGGGCACCTGCGAAGGCGAGAGGGGAGGATGAATCAAAAATCTCAAGAAAAGGTTCCAATCTTAAAAATGGTTCCAATCTTTCGTTAAAGATGGTTCCAATCTTCTGAGTCTGGGGCATGAAAAACAACATGATTCTCCCGGCTTCAAGGCAGCTAAGTGCTCGACCAGAAGGTCCAGGCGACGTGCACAACCACAGCCCTCCCCAGGATGATGCAACTTCCGAGGGCACGGATGCGGCAACGGCCGCGCCAAAGCCCACTGCACTTCCTCCAGACTCGGCAGGGCAGACATGCCATTCATGCGTCGTGGAAGCGGAAAGAGTCATGGACATCATGTGTTCTAAAAGAATCAACTGAATCAACAACAAGAAGGAGCACCACTCAATCAACTGGTTGAGCTCCTCTGGCACGTCGACGACCATCTTTTGCTACTTGAGCCGCATGCTGCCAAAAATGTGCAAGACATGTCTGTTGAGAAAGAATATCTGTAGAAGAATGTATGGTGATCGTATTCAGCGGCATGTCTTCCAATCACCGTCACCGCGGAACATATCGGACGCGGTGGGACACCGGCTTCGGTAAACCACGGGATGCGGAGAAACGGCTCAGGTCGATTCAGCGGGTTCTAAGGGTTCCACACTGCCCCCGCGGTCAGTTCGGGTTCGCCTCAAACTTGCCACAACTGAGCCTTAGCTCAGTAGAAGTGCCTTGCCCCCCTTCAAAAAACAGCGGTTTTCAGAAAGCTCTGCCATTCGAATGAGCAAGCAAGTCCGGGGAGAATCTACATTCTCGAGAGAGCTGAAACCCTGCAAGTGCATGTTTTCTGTTATTGTCTTGGAATATACTATATGGAACACGACGGGGACTGTGAGAGAGAGAGAGAGAGATCCGACCACGAACACCCGCGCCATGCGTCCCATCGAGCCACCAGCCGAGCGATCGTCTCATCCCAAGGTCCAGCCGGCAGCGCATGTAAAGACCGCAAGGTCGGCTCCCTCGGTGCCCGAGGTGTGCTACGTCGGCGACGTCGAGATACGTCGACCCGACGTGTCGGATCGAGGCTAAGTCACAGGCCACTGCCTCGCTCGCTCACACACGCTCACCACTGCAGCATGGCTGATCTCAGCGGGATCGCGTGAGTCACTGTCGGCTGAAATGGCACGACTTTGGAGCCGAACTCAGATGAAATCTGCACCAAGGCACCACGTCTCCTCGTAGCCGACAATGCTGCATGGTCTGCAAGAGCTGCAGGGCACTGGGCCACGAGCCACCCACGCGGCACGCCTCCTCGAATCCAAGCTGTTAGGTGTGGCCCCTTTCTGTCCCTACAAGTCCAGTCTGTCTGACCCAGTAAAGCCTGGTGCCTCTTTGAGTATTGTTTTGGCATGACCAGCCCCAGCACAATGAGGTCTTTGACTCGTAGGGTGTTTATGTCTTCCCAGTCCAGCGCGGCATTGAAGCTCACCAGGTTCCGCGCAGCACGTTGGCTGAAGACGTCCAGTGCCCAGCGCCACTGCGACGCTTTGGACAAGACCTCGACCCGACGGCCGCGAGCTCCGCACTCCTTCGCTCAGCACAGGTCGCCTCTCTCGAAGCGCACCGTTTTTGGTCTCCGGTGTTAAGACAGATCTGAGAGACCCGCGACCCCCACATGTTCTTCCGCCGCGACCCGCCTCAAACCCGCCTCACCCAGCCACCCGCGGCACTCTCTCTCGAGTGCGTCAAAACAAGCGCAGTGCGGTAGGCGCGCCAATTCGGACACGACCGAGTGGCGGTCATCAATGTGTTGTAGCAGAAGGTGTCGACATCTGCATGTTCTTGGAGAGCTCCTCCACCGGGAAGATGCTACCAAAAGCATTCAGGAGCGTCAAAGGCATTCAAGGAATGTCACACAAAGAGTCCAAGCAGAAGGCCACACAAATCCGTCCATATTAGCTTCTTTATGTGGCTTTAGGCCCTAAGGGCGTCAAGAAATCAGCCTTGAAACCTCGACGCTGACGCACATGCTTACGCTGCATCCTTGAAGCAGCGCCACGGCTGCCTCCCAAGCTCCGCTGGAAGCACAGGCATCGAGCAAGGGGGCCAGGCACCGGGCGTTCAGAGTGGGACCGGCCAGGCCCGTCGCACGCGCCGCCACAGACAGGGCAACAGTCCAATCGGCACGACAACTGCTGATGGCCTGGAAGGCTGACACGGCAACACGACAGCTGAGCAAACGCCCCAATGCGGACGGACGAGACGAGTTTCTGATTCAGTCTTTTGGGCTTCCTGAGCGTCTGACATTTCCACGCCAGACTTGATCTGGGAGGACAGCGGAGGAGTGCATCCGCTGCCTGTGTTTTGAAAAGTGGTGTTTTTGGCTCATGTGGGACAAGCTCAGATGCTTCCAAAGTGCATTTGTTCCACCATCCGCTGCCAATCACCTCCCGTTCCTTCCTGGCGGGTGTGTCTCCAATCCCAAATGCCTCTCACACAGTAGACTGTTTAGACTGATCCATCAACCACCCCTTTCGAGGTGTAAAACCTCAAACCATTCTGGATCCAAAGGGAGGGGAGTCTTCAACCCTTCTCGTCTCTACCTCTTCTACCTCAACAACTCCCTCGTCTGACAGGATCCGACGACTCCCTCGCCTCGATGAGGTGACTGTGCAGCTTGACATCAGTCTTCAGATCTGCCAGCGCCACGCTTCTCCAGACCTCCGCCTTCACGACCCGAGCTGCGGGGGGATTCGCAGATCCGGAGGGAACCCCTCCGACGCGGCGCACGTCTTCTCCCGCACCGAAACGGGTCGGAAAATGCCGGGGCACGAGGTGTTCCCAGCGGCGGTCTGCGGTCATGGCGGCATCGAAGCTGATCACATCCTGTAGCGGACGTGGGGGTGAAAACAGAAACCCCTTGAAGTGAGAACGCACGGGTCGGGGCCCCAAAGAAATGACGGGCTCAATCAGCAATAGCATAGCTGTACTGCTTTCGCCCAGGCTCTGTCTGCAAGGCCTGTTCTGACATCTCATCCATCAAAGCCCAGATGAGGCGCCAGGCCGAATGCGCTTCAGCTGTGGTGTCTTTCCTTAGGAAACACCAAGGGCGCCAAACCCATGGTTAACGACAGCTTCGTTGGAATTGACTACCTCCAAGTCATTCACGTGAAAGTGGAATTCACCAACACAGCCATTGGCCATGCTCCACAATCACTGGTGAGATGGCTTCCTACTTGAAATGTCCGGACCGCGTCAAGACTTCTTGCCCAATCGAGGAACAGACTCTACTACTAGTACTAGTAGCTAGAATCTAGCAGCTAGAAGCTACTAGGTTGGAGGCCATTACTACTAGTATAGCTTCTATTTGCTACTAGTAATGCACTTAGCCACTAGTAGCGATGCACTTGCTAACGACTCCACTGGTCCCAAGCTGCAAACGCCCTTCCGCCGCCGCATTGAAGCTCACCCCGTCGCGCCGCACGCCGCAGGGCTTCGTGCTCGGCGAGAGCAGTTCCAGGGCACGTCTCCAGGGAGAGATGCTCATGGCCTCATGTCGCGTGGCAGACCCGCTATCGCCCGCCACACGGAAAGCGATGTCGCGACCGAAGACTCCAAGTGAAGGCGGGTTGGCAGGTTCGTTGCCCAACTTTCACCCTGTGAAACACTCGGTGTTCTGGTAGGAGGACTCCATCGCTCTTCGGCCCTTCCAAGCCCTAGCCAAGCCCTACAGTGGCTGGCCTGTGTGCGCCGATTTCTTGCCGAGGCGCGGCATTGAGGGCAGAGATGCCATGTTGGAGGGCCAAGGCCGCAGCGGTACCTTAGGAAAAACATCAGGAGTTGAATGGCAAGCAGCGAAAGCACTAGCGAAAGCCACTAAGCAGCAGAAGACTCCACAAAATGTGGGTAGGCAAACAGAACCAGCATGGCTAGCCTATGAATTGCTCACGGCAGTGTGTGTTCGGTGTTTAGCCTTGCAAGAGAGCTTGGGATCAAATCTCCACATTCAAATTTGAATCGATATCAAAGACATCAAACATTCCGCTCATTCCGCTACTTTTTTACCTCGACCCCCACATCACCTCTGGTCAGCTTCACCAGCTAGGTACTCAAAGCGGCAAGGCCCCAAGACCAGCTGTGCTGTGAGCAAGCATTCACAGCTGCTCCCACGGCGACCTCCAGAACCACAGAATAGATAGAATAAGGCTTGAAGAAGGCACATCTGCTGTAGTACATCCAATGGAGAAGTCTTTAGGATTTCTACTGATTTCTTGCTCTTTGGGCTCCACAATGGAGACCAGATCAGATGTTGTCCTCAAAGCACTACAACAAGAGGCACCCCAGTGATGTACTTCATTCATTGGTCTATGGCATATGGCTCATGTGACTCATAGTCGGCTTGAGCTTCAGAGCATGCACATTGTCTTCCAAACTCTGCGGGATACTGGACCCCTTTGAAACCAAAGGTCCTTCAAATCCTCAAGCCGTGCCAAAGAACCATGTACAAACCCATTGTTGCTTTTCCTCTCAACCCCGTCACGAAAGGCGAGAAAACGCGTATGGCGTATGCCTGGTCTAATTCCACTCCTGACCGACGCAAGACTTGGAGAGCCAAAGCTGGGCCGCTCTTGCTGGCAGCCTGCGGCTGTTCGGCCGAGAGTGTGGGTCGTATTGAGAGGGACATGCCGGTGGGAAGGTCTCCCTTTTGTTATGAAAAGAAAGCATCAACATTGTTGATCTGCAGCATTTAGCAACAACAACAACAACAAGAGACAGCATGTGTACTGTATATGTACATATATACAGATCTATATATACCTTGTGCCTCCAAACACGACAAAAACGTAGGGCTCATCCCAAAACACGAGGTTCTTGGAGGAAACACGAGGTTTCCCATTTTGGTGTGTTTTTTCCGCCCATGCCATCTTCGAAGGCCGGGCCACAGGAACTTGAATTCAAACTCAAAAAGACCAGGTTGATGATCAGAACGAAAAAAATCTCAACCAATAATGCAACTATTGTACCACCCTAAAACCCGTGAAAAAAACACGGGTTGACACGGGATAATCACGGGTTTGTCACGGGTTTGTCACGGGTTTGTCACGGGTTATCGGAGCTCTCAATAACGGACCCGAACTTTTCCTGACAAGAGTGTTGAATGTTTTTAACATATTGTGAACAATGTTTTAGCCACGGAAAATTTGATAAGTCGGCGGGAGAAAATGCATATGGAGCACCTGCACATGGCTATCGAGGGTTTTGGGCAAAACACGAGGATTTGGTTAAAAACCCGAGGTTTTCCCTTATGTCACGGCTAAACCCGAGGTTTGTTTTCAAACCCGACAAATTTGTAGGGTTCAGATGCTCAGGGTATATAGACAGTATCTCCAGCATTTCTTCCGCGTCCTGCACGGCGGCAGTCACGGTGATGGCATCTGGCTGCACAGTGCGAACTTCCTGAACTCAGCAGAGAACCATCAGCTGCTAACGACGAGCTGCAGTACCACTATGAGTGCCTAAAGACCACCGCATAAGCTCTTAAGCATTCATAGGCATCATACCCTCACTTGGGAGAGTTGCTTTGACATGATAGGTGCAGTACACAACACCGAGGTTGGCAAAGAACAAGGACAAGAAATAGACCGCAAGAGCCGAACCGACTGCAGGAACTGGTTGATGCCGGTTCCACCGTCCTGAAGCAAAAGCATCGCCAAGAGCCACTGGTCCGCTCGGTCACAGGACATCATGGCCACATTTAAGCTGACCTCATGCGCTGAGGTCTCTCAATCCCCATTCGAACCATTGCTGGGTGAAACCATCACCGTCGATGGGGCGTTTGGCGCTTCACACGGCTCAAAAGGCTCGAACCTGTCGAGCGCCAAACCCGGAATCCCTCGGCATCCGTCCTGGTGTCCCACGGTCACACCATTCCCGATCGCACCCAAGGCACCGTGTCAGGTTGCGCCGCGGGACGCAGCATGAGCCCCAACATGGCCCTGCGAACGAGAGGCCGGCCCAGGCCAGCTCGCGGTGGATCCGGGTGGCCAAAAAAAGGGGACGGATGAGTCCCTTTTTGTTGGAAGAACCTTGAACGGAATCGATGGAAAATGAATGTAAAGGAGAAGAATCGTCTTCGAAGGGAGAAACATGAATCGCCTCCTACGGTTTTTCTTTGTCCTCCTCGCCGGAAAAGATCCGTCGTCGCCCCGGCCAAATGTGCGGGGACTGCAGATTGGACCAAAACCGTCAAAAAACAACAAACATCAAACTCAATGGACAAAAGCCATGCCAGCCAGTGCTCGAATGCGTGAAAAATGTCACAGTAGGGAAGCCACAGAAACTACCAAATGATGCCAAATGATGAAGCCATATCGAATAATATCCAATAATGATTTGGAAGGACTAATTCGGAAAGGGGAAATTCGTGTCTCAGGCGGAACCATCCAACTAAGCTCCAAGAAAACACCCTTGGTTTCAAGGAATGGTCCGTTGAAAGAAGCAGACGGAACAGGCGAATGCTTTCAAGACATCAAGTAATGCCATCTCTGTCGCCGTTCAGTGCACTCAGCCCACTCCTCCAAGAAGTTTTGCAGGCGGCAACTGCAGTATTGAAGCCTAGGCCGCACCAGCGAAGGGTGATAGTTACTCTTTAGCCCAAGCTTCCCGTGAAACAGGAGCTATTATAGAGTGGCATTGTGACTTCCAGCATCTTGCATCCAGTGAGCTGATTACGATGGACCTCCCGAAAGAATGATTCAAATTGTTGAGCTCAGCCCACTGCGCTCCGCCTGCCGCACACCCTATCACTTCGATCGAAGCTGCAAAAGCCATCAGCCGACACCGGCATCTCGTCCAGAGATGAGATTGACAATTGCCACTGCCCCGTTTTCGAACCTTAGTCGGAAGAGAATTCAAGCACTTCCATTTTGCAAATGCACATATAATGACAATATCTGCATATGTGTCCTGCATATGTGTGGATGTGATGCATATAATACATAATACTAATATATATATATTATATATATATGTATTATAATATATATTAGACATAACATAAATATTATAGATCTTACTACCCTGCATGTCCGCAAGTCCAACCCCTCGATTTCGACACGCTCCCAGTCCAGGGAACATCTCACCAGAAGCCTCCGGTAGCGCCCAAGACTGGTCTCCACGCCGTCTAGGCGTGAGCCTGGGCCTCTGCCCATGGCCCTGAGCCCATTCCATGGCCGGTCGCGTTGGAAAACCGCCAGGGTCGCGATTGGCTGATGCTGAAGGAGGACGCACTGTGCAGGTGTTGCTTCGTATCTTCGCGCCCCCGTGGGAAAACTCCAATTGGTGTTTCTTGGCGCAAGAAACCCTGTGAGCAAAAATGCAACAGCTTGAGGTCTTTTCTGAGCAAAAACTCCAATCCTGTTCACTGCATGAAATCTGCAGCTTCGTCTTCTGCGTGGGCGGCGTGGACCTTCTCTACGTGTGAGATTTCGCAGACAGTCCATCATCCTGAGTGCATGCGACCCAACAACCCCAAATCCCAAATCCCGGACCTTCACAGACTCCACAAAACAAATGACAGAATCGCGCGGCTCGACTGCCAAAGTCCACGAACAATGACTGTGCCAGCTTTTTTCAAGCGCAAAGTATGTTCTTTTGTCTCGTGGACTAGTAACAAAGGGCATCGCTGCTAGAAGCAAAGAAGCATAAAGAAGCTATTAGGAGCAAATGGCATCACTGCTAGAAGCTACTAGGGGCTCCTGGCATCGCTACTAGGAGCAAGAAGGAAGCTACGAACGTCACAAGGGCATCGCGTCGAACGGCGGACACTCGCGACGACTCCCTCGGTGGTTACGACGTGTTGGTCATGCAAATGGTCACCCGACACCCGACCCGACTGCACCCGACCGAGGCTCCAGTGTTTGTCTCCACCACGGCAGGGCCACTCTTGGCTCTCAAAGGCCAGGATGGAATTCTGCACCTGGCGACCCCGGGTCTTCCGTTTTGGCCGGCTGTTCCAAAAACTAAGCCAAAGTCAGGGCATCATGGCACAGTTGAAAGATCTAGGGTGGCATGGCCTCAGCACAGTTCATCTTGCGGATGAAGAGCATCTCCTGGGGCGAACGCCTTTTTAGCATGCTAAACCATAAACATTATCAATGCATTCAGCTGCACTGACCTGATGTGACACATCGACTGACAAGATGTGACACATCGACTGACGCATTCGACCTCTGTGGTCATGTCGGGTATGATGCATTGCTCTCGCCACCTGGAAAAAAAACACAACTTCCACCACTCGGTCGCCAACGCAAACAGGTCATGGCTCATGACGCCTTCGCTCTGGCTCCACCTCCAAGGCTATGGATGGCAGCACCTTGGGATCAGCTTCGGCCCTCCGCATCCGAGCGTGAAAGCGAAGAGACCCGAGGCCGTGACGCATAAAACCAAGACCCGGCGAACCCGGGCCGCCTCGGACGCCGTTCACCGCTTCGCCGAAACACCCGGCGTCTCGAACAGCGGGTGTGGCGAGTCGTGGCGTCTCGTCTCGCCTGCGCGGCGATGGGGTTCTCCATGGTTTCCTGAAGAACATCACAGGAGAAAAAAAGGGCAGAGAGACTTATTGGTCTCATGTCATCTGTCATCTCCAGCCTTGTCCGCGACCACCTGAAGCAGGACATGCCGAGCTTGAGCCCAAGCGGAACACACGAACGGTGAAATCAGACGAAGCGGTCCAACGGGTCTGAAACGCCTTCAGGTTCAGCCCAGGCAGTTGAAACCCAAACTGCCTTTCGGAAACAAAGCTCTTCAAAAACGCCTTAGAGGATCCTCTAAAGCGATCACTTCACAAACACCTCAAATACCTGGTCGATTTGGCGGGTCATTTTCCGTTCAGCGGGTCACATCGATACCATTCCCTCCCTCGCGGAGGGGTCTGGTGCCGTGCAATCTGAGCATGCTTTGTGTCGGGAACGAAGTTCAGTCTTCGCAAACTTGGAGTCTTTGTGCTGTTCTTAGTTCTTGCTGTACGTGGTGGTGGTGTTCCTGTTCCGGTTGTGAGACTCGAATCTTCGAGATTCGGACTGGGCACCCAACAGCCGTGCTATGTACAAAGGCTCTACAGCCTTGCCGTTCAGGCAAGATGAAAGACTCGAACTGTTGAGATGCACAGTCAACGTGAGTACGTCCCTATATGGTCCTTTCTTCCCTGCAGGGGGGGCTTCTCAAACTGTGATGGTTGATTCCAAACTCTTTTTCTTCCTCTCGGAAGCTCTCGTCCGGCATCACCAACTGCCTTCGACGCATCACGGCACTAACCTGCAGCCGGACTCGCCGAAAAACCCAACACGCCTCTTTCGTGAAGCCTGAACATCTCCCAACGACAGCGGGACGGGCGAAACGCGTGCCCGCTGCACTGGATCCTTCCGATCTCTTGAGCGATCAAAAATCTTCGATGCCCTTGTCATGTTACCATTAGCTTCTTGTTACGTACTATAAGAAATATATATATATATGTATAGTAGTAATGCCCTTGATACAAATGAGTAGCTTCATTCTTCGAGATGTTCAGACCTCACTCAGCTTCCAAAACACTGAATTCCCGAGCCGTCAGATCACGTAACAGTCAGAGGCGCGACGCCTCTGTTCGCCTCTAAGCTCGGTCACCGGCTCCCGGTTCGACCGACGGAGGCGTCAGTTGACCACCACCTCGGATTGCCGAGAAACGACGAGGAACGACGGGACGGACGTCGGGGAGCTGGGAGTGACCTATTTTCAGATCGAATCTGTCAATGATCAAATGCTAAATGTGTCCTTTTCCTGGAGTTCTGTATGGGAGTTGAAAGGATTCCCGCCAACTGCTGATCCACGCTCGAACGTCGGACCTTCGATCTCGTCTTGTTGTACTTTCTCGGTCGGACCCAGCCAGTCGGACCCGTTTTCTCCTGCCACGCCCGGTCCGTGGAGGGTTGGGTCCAAGGCACCAAATCATCTGCCTCCAAAAGGTCATCGAAGCTGCCGTTGTAGGTGGGCTGCCTATGGCCATCGAAGTCCGGTTCGACCCGGTCCCGGTCCCATGGGCGTTCCTACATTGCGTCACACATGGTGCGACATAGAAGCATTCTGAGGCTGCCTTAAGCGCTTGGGGCTGCCGAATCGTATTGAGATTCTGGCCAAACCGGACCACGTGGAATATGCCCAGAGAAACCAAGATATACATACATGCACCAAGACCATCCAAAACCTAGAAAAATGTAGTGTCAAAAAACAGACTCGGTTTTTGCAACTAAAACCGGGTTTCTCAAAAACAATTCACAAAAGACATGCTTTTACGGACAAATTATGGATTTTGCACAGGTTCTGAACATGAGAAACCAAGTGTTTCACTGAAAACTGGGTTTTCGTCGTGCCAAAACATGGGTTTTCGGAAAAAGGTCGTCTTTTTTCTAGGGTTGGGTTGCTCCTGGCTTACAATTGCAATTCTTCCCCCATTCCGGTGGGGGAAAGCGCCCAAAGCGGCTGACCCGTCGTTCACGAGAGCTAGAGGTCGTCGTTCCTCTCCGTCGCGCCTTTCGAGCACTTCAAAGACCTGCTCCCGTGGTCCTGGCGTTTTCGGCCGTCAGCGACGAAGAGTTTCACCCAGACCGAAGTCAAGTCGACCATTTAAAATGATACTAGTAAGGCACTTGTTACGAACGAAGCGATGCACCTGTTCCTAGTAGCTTATTGTTACTACTATTGATCTGGTTTTGTCGTGTAAAACCCTTAGCAGATTTCGCCCCGGTGAAGATTTCAGGTTCCACGAGTCGAAGACTTCGACGGTTCCGCGGCTTGGACGGTGCTCCCCACCTTCACAAAGGCGATCGCAAAGAGAGCTGAACCTGGAAGAGGAGTGTGACGCTCGGTCCATGGAGTTGGCACGAAGCAAGTCGGTGGGGTGGGGTGCCGACGCTTGCCCAACACCTACTCAGTGGATGAGACAAAAAGCTCAATTGGAACTGGTCCAAAACCATGTGCAGTGTGTGAATGCAAGACGCCAAATGGACGATTTCCAACTGTCAAATTTGCCCAGCAACTTGGGCGTGCTTTCGTGCAAGCTTCGCACAACTCTTGGGAGGTTCCACTGCCAGTCCGTCTCCGGGTCCCTTCGGCGTCCCTTCTTTCGGTATTTTGCCCACACGCTCTTCCAGAAACTGAGTCAAACTGGTCAGCAACGCACCGTTGAAGCGTAGGGACTTCTTGGCTACGTGCCCGCATTCTGCTACAACAGCCCTGGAACAAAGAAGCTTAAGCTTCTGATGGCATCTCATGGAGGCTCATAAAGCTCCTTGGTGATATCCCACCTAGGTCCGCGGACACTCTGTCGCTCTTATAGATAGTTCCGTGCTCATCTGGCAGCTACAAACGCACTAGGGGGCTTCTAAGATCTTCTAAGAACTTGGCCGCATAGTCGAAGACACACAAGTCTTGAAGCCGCTTCTTATGAGTGGCCACAAACTCCTGCGACGAGGAACGTGCCCGAGAGAACGTCCGCGTCAGGTCCGTGAGGGAAGAAAGGCCTATTCTTCGCCATTCTGTTGGAGGCCATCGCCAATGCAAACAACAAAGTAAAGGATGCAAAGGTCTTAATATACAGTTTGCCATTTTGGAAATTGTGCCACACACCAAGTTTTCCCAGAGCCTTACGGAGCCGGAAGTTCCTCTCCTCATGAACCGGATGCACCAGGTACTGGTCACGAGCCGCCTACGCGCGACGAACGCACGAACCGAGTTCCCGTCGACTGGGTCCCGATGGTCGGCCTCATCTGGAAACGTGAGGAAGAACGCATGAGTGAGGCCCTTGCCGAGATTCTCGCACGAGCACTGGGTCCTGCGATTGCGCTCTGAACAGAACAGACGGAACAAAGCCACTCAGTCCGAGACGGAACAAAAAGTGATTGATGAGTGATGGATGGTCGCTCAAGCCACTCATGGTGTGAGGCAAGAATGGTACATATAATTAGTCTATAGAAACAAGTGCCACGCTAGTAGTAACAAGTGCCTTACTAGTAGTAAAAAGAAGCTAGTAGTAACAAGTGCATCGCTTCGTTCGTAACAAGTGCCTTACTAGTAGTAACAAGAAGCTAGTAGTA